AATCGGCGAAAAACGTTCTTAAATTTGGCTTAAAATCATGAAATTTCAAATCTCAAATACATAGATTTTTCTTAAAAAAAATATATGTTGTTGATACATAAATTTCTATTTTAGTGGTGTTAAATATTAAGAGGGTCACTGACTTCGTTTAAACGGTATATATCATTCAAGGTGGTATTCTATATGAAAAAAAAAAAACGACCAAACATCGAATTTATTGTAACGTCGTCGCGTTGTAGGCCGTAAAACGTCGATTTTTGACGTTTTTTTTTAATACCAACGAGTTAATACACAAAAAACCAAGTCGGTGATGATATAATTATTTTTTTTTCATTAAAACGGAAATTTATGAATCAACAACATATAGTTTTTAAAGAAAAATCTATGTGCTTTCTATACAAATTCTCAACTATTTTGAAAGAATGCAAGCACTCATATTTCAGAAAATAAGATAGATAAATTCATTATTTTTTCGATATTCAGCGATGTTAAACGAGCTAAATCTGTTTGCAAAGTTTTACCAAAATCTGTGACATAGCCCATTTACTGTTCCTTGACCTTAAGAACTAAAATAGATAATAGATGGTTAAAAACTTAAATAAGCACAAATGATCAGCAAGAAAAACTCTACTACAAATAAGTGAGATCGCTGAAATCGTCCGACGACTCTTTATTGAGTTATTGCTCTTTTATGACGATTTTTACCCATTTGAAAACTATAATATATAGATAGACACTTTAAAAAGCAACAATAAGACAAGCAAGACAAGATCTAAAAATAAGTCAACATAACCAAATTGTTCGTCGACTTCTCACTGGAAAAATTGCCCTTTTATGGCGATTTTTAACCGATTTTATGCCTAATATCTTAAAGCTTATAATAGATAGATAAAAACTTAAATAAGCAAAAATTATCAGCAAGACAAGATCTACAAATAAATCAGCTGGCTGAAATCAGACGACGACTCCTTATTGGAGATATTGCTCTTCAATGATGATTTTTACCCTTTAAAGTGTTTTTTACCTTGAAAACTATAAAATATAGGATAGACACTTTAATAGAAAAAATGATTACCAAGATAAGATCAAATGAGTCATCATGGCACAAATTGTCAATCGACTACTTATAGGAATTTTTGGTCTGTAATGACAATGTTTACCAATTTTTGGGGTTTTAGCCTTATAAAAGTTAGACAGACACTTTAAAAAACAAGAATTCAAGACAAGATCTACAAATAAATTAAATGTTGTCGAAATTATAGTAGACTCTTTACAGGAGTGGTTGTCCTTAAAAGACGATTTTTTTACCCTTTTTTGTGTTTTGGGCAAAAAATAAGAAGATAGAGAGAAACTGTTGCAGTAATAATTAAAAAATGATCAGGCGATTGCTGTCATGAATTCTATTCTAGTCAACAATATTGGAGAGTGTCCACTGTCAAAGATGCACAGAGACTTAAATGAGCGATACAGGCTTTTTTTGCGTAAAGATACTGATTAATACATACAAAACAAAAGAGTATATTTTAATACTAAAAGTTGCTATTTCCATTTTAATTGACGTTTCAGTTGATGGTAATTGGGGAAATTGGGCTTCATGGGGAACTTGTTTAGTAACTTGTGCAAGTGGAACCCAAACAAGACAACATCTGTGTGACAGTCCAGCAGCACAACACGATGGACAGGACTGCAGCGGTTCGGGTACAGAAACACAAACATGCACTAAAGTCACATGTCCAAGTAAGTATAGTCAATAATTTTAGAGGTGGAATTGATTAATTTAAAGAAAAAAAGGGGGGAATAATGAACTAGTTTGAAATTGACGTTTCGTTTCGTTTATATCTGTAATTAATACGGATCTCCAAATATTGACCAAAAGGAATTTCACCGGGTTATCTTATTTGTTCCAGAGTGGATATTAGTTTCTGCCCCGATAGTGACAAACGTCATGTTGCCAATGGCAAGTCCATATTGGTGCTAAGACGAATTCGTCAATACTTCAATCATGGAAGTCATGAAGGTATTTTGGCTACGACAAGTTAAACATAGGTGTTCATTTACGTCATTTCAATTTACATGTAGGTAACATGATTGAATAGAACTTAATTAGATTCTTCTTTGTCGATTTTTTTCTAGTGGTAATTATTCACTTGTAATGTGTTTGTTCCATATTAAATTCACTGCTAATTTAGGTAGTAAAATTAGCCCATAAAAACTGCTCCAAAAACTTAAGTTTTTTTTTGGTTTTGATCAATATGAATATAATTGACGTAACACATATCGCATAAAACGTGGAAGCGTTTCTTGATTAAAATGTGCAGTGTCACTTGCATTTTATCGCTTCAAACTGTACATTTCTAATTATGTTTAATGGACTTTAGCATGCTCTCTCATCTTTTTTTTTTGTCAGTTATCTGTATATAAATACAGTGGATATGCTGCTCACGGACAGTTTACGTGTGTTAACTTTAACCAATTTCTTTCATATTCGAAATTCTTTCATGCAGTCTTCATTTGCATGCTCTTTATGTTAAAATACTCCGCACAAAGGTCGTTAAACATTCTGTCTCAATAAGCTTTAGGTTGCCTATATGCAAAAAAATATTACGATTTATCATGGTTACTCCTCTATTCTTGGTCCATAGTAATGACATTGCTGATAACATCCTTTGACTTTGTATATGGTTTGCTGATGACACGTACATGGTCCTTCAATAGTGAAGTCTACAAAATATTGTTAATTTTAATCTTCGAAATATTGCAAATTGAACAAAAAAATGGCTTGTCATTTTAAACTCAGATAAGACAGATATACCGTTTTTAAGCAATAGATGAATACCGAGTAAATTGAGCCTTTCATTCGGAAATATATCAAGCTATGATAGTAAATTGACAAAGCACATGGACACTTAGTCTAGTTTTAAAAAAAGCTTCAAAAGAAATTGCAGTTTTTAGAAAGCTCAAATTTAAGATATCTAGAAAATATCAGGTACATCTCAATAATGACGACTTCAGTATGTATACTAAAGAAATTTATCCTGTTGAACTTACTTTAAATAAAGCTAATACTAACAATGGCCACTGTCCTTTCCTCGATCTTGATATCTATATACTTAACGGAAAGCTTAATACAAAAATTTATGATAAAAGAGATGATTTTTCATTTCCTATCGTTAATTATCCATTTTTAGATGGTGACGTTCCCTTGTTACCATCTTATGGTGTTTATATATCTCAACTTGTACGATCCGCTCGTGTATGTAACAACGTATTAGATTTTAGCGAGAGTAATTTATGTATTACTGAAAAATTATTACACCAGGGGTTTCGATATCATAAACTAGTCAAAACATTTACTAAATTTTATCATCGGTATAAAGGACATCATTCGTAAATATAACTCAACATGCAGACATCTTATACGTTCGGGTATTTCACATCCAATCTTTTATGGTAATATTCTTTACAAAGCACAAAAATGTCAGTTTTCACCTCAAAAGCTCACAAAACCTTTAAACAGACTTATTAAGAAGGGATATTGTTACGATACTAATTATGAAAATTGACGAAAAGTTCTACAAACGAAACTCATTTTTTGATTATAGAGTAGTATACAAAGCACAAAAATGTCGGCATTCATTTAAAAAAATAACCAAACCTTTAAACAGACTTATTTAGAAGGGATATCCAAGTAATATTACGAATAAAATATAGCATGTTTTAGCATTCATCTTGTGCAGTAAAATCGGTACCTTTAATGTTATTGGCGAAATAACTGGAAAAGAATCAATCGTTCCATTTCAAATTCCAAATCAGATGATATGAATGTGAAATTCTATTGCAAAATCGTTGTTTAAGTGAAGTGTTATATGTCTTTATTTAAAACTCATTAAAAATGCCAGATTTTTTATTTAGTACAACAACACTCATCAGTGTCGCTCGAATTTAACCAGTTGCGAGGCTGAATTCATTACGCAGGTGAAGAAAATTGAAAAGGCTAACGCTGCGAAACGTTCTGCCAATCTGGCTACGATCATCTGTGTCTAGGGATAGATAAGTAAACTCTATATGTTTGGAATGTTTTTCACATTTTATCTCATGTCATCACAGACATGCTATTTGGCTGGTAATATATATAAATCGGAAACACAAAATAATGTAGTGTCTATGGACATAAATGCATCTAGAGCAACTGCTGCGTATTTGGGGAATTACTTGTATTATTAATTTTATCATTATTATAATCATAATATTACTTTCAAACTGTAATTTTTATCTTGTTTTATTTTCTTGTTTACGACATTTTAAATATTGGTCGGATAAAAGCAGGGTGTGTATATTCCATGTCAATTTTGGCGGTGTTATCAAACGTATCCCGACCCTATTATATTACATTCTTTATTTCTGTTTTCTGTTAACTTTTTGTTATTAGTTAAACGACCTGCGACTTATATCTCATGTATTTTGAGGAGCCATAGGATTGAAAATTAACAATAAATCAAATTCTGAAAAGCTTATAGTCCCGGATGAAGGGTAGATGAATTGCTATAAAACCAAGATTAACACACAATTTTTATGCGGAAAATTTCTATACCAATTCAGGAGTATAATAGTTTTTTTTCAGACGTTCCGTTGTTGATATAGTCGAGCGTTTGGTTTTGTCAACTTTCATGGACTTTCGCCTTTTTAATTTACCATTGGAGTTCGTCAATTTTGTTATTACTTTTGTTTTTGACTGCCAATGAAAAAGGATTGTATATTGGGTACGAACAGATATCCCATAATTATATAGTCAACTAATTGAAAATTGAGGTACATATGAACACTTGTCTATTGTTGAAGACAATATTTGGTCGTGGGGGTGCTGACTTATTGATATATATATATATATATATATTCTCTTACTCTTAGGCCAATCATCTATATAAGAGATTGTTCAAACCCTTTTTTTGCAACGAAGGTCATGACGTTATCAACATGGTCAAATACACAATTTACGAAAATGAATAAAACATAAAATTTATTAAGAATAATATCATGATATATAAGATTTGTAATATTGCACTAGCATATATAAAGATATAGTAATATCTCCGCTTTATACTTTACCAATTAAATTCGACTTCGTATTTTAGGAGACATTAAATTTACAGTATAGTTAAGATGACCACTAACATTTTCATGCATCAGACTGTAGTGCTTCCTAGTATTCAATAATTAAGGCGTCACATTAAAGAAGGGAAAACTAGTTAAACTTTAAATGAACTAACAACTTTTCTAATACTGTTGGAAAAACAAGGAAATTCAAATATTTGGGACAGTTTCCTAGTCAGAATTATAGTACATTAAGATTTTTTACATACTCATATGAGTTAAAAAGTAAGAAATGAGGCAAAAAAACCCATCTTTATCCTCTCTCAACTTTGAAACTATAAAAATAACTGCACCCTCCTGATCCCATGTGTTCACCAGTTATTCATTTCTGTATTGAATTGTGTATTATAGTTGGCACAAACATATCAGTTATTGTTCAATATATGTACATTTATAAGGATTATTTCTCTATAATTGTTCACGTTCAATCGTGAATGATAATAGTTCTTTCTTAATCACAAGATACACTCAACGATTTGCTCCCTGCGTAAGAAACAAGTATTGTTCTCTGTGTTTAAAGTTATCAGTTTTTCTACATCCTCAGTTAATAATGAATTGTACCGTATGCTCGGTGGGAGATGTATTATGCGTTCGTATCCAAAGCCTCCAAAGCAAATCTCAGTTTGGCCATGGTCAGTATATCTTTCACGCCTAGCTGTTCTCCAATTACCTTGTAGTACATATCTGGTGACTGTGGAATATCAAAAATCATTTGTTAAAACAATGAACCAAAAATTGTTTTTTTCATATTTGTTCTCATTTCAATATGTTCATAAGTAAAACATATGTATTTTATTTATGTGCATTATCTAAAAATAAAAATTTCACTTCAATAAACAAGACGAACAAGATCACAGTACATTTTTATGACTTTTTATGAAGGTCTGGAAGGATAGAGTCTTCATTTCTGTATTCTTTAATTTGTTTGGTTATTTATCTCTATTCTTTATTCTTTGTCCAATATTCTCTATTTTTTACATTTAACTATACCATTATTTTTTGTTTCATAATTTGTGGGCCAAATTTTCCCTTTTTGTCCCATTATTCTCTATTCTGTAAAACTCCAACCGGACCTAATTTAAGATCATTTCAACAATTGAAAAAAGAACCTGTATCTTTTCAGACAGAAAAGTCCATTTGATTTTAAAATCAACCTTATAATTACAATTGCTCGTTTAAAAATAGATTTTTTTAAAGATCTCGTATTGGGCTTACAGATTTGCTTCAAATCTTGTTTTTTTTCTCGATTTGAGACAGATGGCCGACATCAAACTAGAATCTATGACAAACGTGATAATTTCAACTTTTCAATTGTCCGTTTAAATATCTCAATGAATACATTATGCTCGTGCATGAAAATATTATACGGACTTCAATGACAGAGGTGTGCTCATGACACAAAAAAGTGATTTCCGCGCTTTAAGTACAATATAACTGTAAAATTTAGGATGTGAAATACCGTTTTTAATCAGTTTTCTACAGGTACAGCCAAATTTACTTATCAAATCTTTGTATCTATGAAAGAATTTAGTAAAAGTTTTACGTAATTTATGGTAACGAAATCCCTGACTTAATAATATACCAGTGATGCATTGATTACGTTCGTTAAAATCTATGACATAACTACACACACTGGCATAACGAACGAGTTGGGATATATAAACACCGTATGATGGAGCCAAAGAAACATCGCCGTCTAAAAAAGGAAAATTAACAATAGGGAATGAAAAGTCGTCTCTTTTGTCGTAAATTTTAGTATGAGTTTTCCTTTAGAGATTGAAATGTACAAATCTAGAAAAGGACAACTACTGCTGTTTATGTTAGATTTAGTTAAAGTAAGTTCTTTTGGGTAAATTTTGGTAGTATATTTAGAGAACTCTGGATTATTTAAAGAAAAAATATCATCAAGATAACGGAAGGTATTGTTGAATGTATCAACCAAATGTATCAATGACGTGTCTTTACTGAGTTTGGTCATAAACTGAGATTCATAGCAATACAAGAATAAATCTGCTATTAAAGGGGTGCGGTTAGTGCCCATAGGAATACCTACTACTTGTCGATACACTTTATCGCAGACGTAAATATATGTTGTCCAGGAGAAAATTTAAAGCTTCAATCATATCGTCACATTTTCAGTAAGTGTATCTAGCATACTTTCCTTTTTCGTTACAGAAAAGGACTTTAAACGAGTTACAGCAAATAAATTTGTAATGAGATTTTTCAAAAGACCATTTAATTAAATATGAAAACTTTTTTTTTATGGAAGATTGTGTGGAAGTGTAGTATAGAGAGTAGAAAAATCATAACTGTCAACGGAATTAAAAGGACCATCAAAAGCATGTATTTTATCTAAAACCTCTAAAGAATTTTTAACACTCCAAAAATAATTAATACCATTATTTTCATAAGCTTTATTACAAAAGTTAATAACAAGTTCTTTGATAGTAGTAAGGGTGGTAGTTAGAAGCACTGATAGATTGTTAGTAGAACACTTACTAGATGCGGAGATGAAACGGAATTTAAATGTTTTTTTGTGCAATTTAGGTAACCAGTACATAGTAGGGACTTTCAAATGTTCGGAAATGGCTTTAAGCTGGGTGGCAGTGATATGCTTGTTTACAATTTGACTCTCTGTGGAGCGTACGGACCTGAATGTAGAAGAATTTGTAATTTCGTTTTGGAGAAATTCCGTGTAGTATATGCGTAACACCACCACTACATTATTTGCTGCTTTGTCTGCCGGTACGAACACAAACCGCCTTGCGAGTACTTGGAGTTTATTTTTTATTCTAGAAATGGGAATATCATGGACCCTATTACTTATTTCAGAATTGTTTTCAAAATGAGATATACGAATATTAACAGTATTCATAATTTTATTCAAATAACTGTCTAGAGATTTTTTATCAGATTTTTCACGTTTACACCAAATTTTACAGTAGACAGACAGTGCGTCTTTAATGACCTGACGACACTGTTTCCAATCTATTTTAGATGGAGGACGATATTTCGGTCCTTTCTTAAGAAAAGTTATGACCTCACGGTCTTCGACGATGTTGAGGTCTCCTGTAAGGACATGACCATAGGGGACATATCTAAAACTAGATGTTTCACAGTCTCAAGTGGAAGGAACATTATTTTCTATATTGACGTCTGATGTAACTGACGTATAATTAAAAATCAAACTTCTGCTGTTTTTTTTTTTTATAAGAATACGAAATAATAGGTGGTTCTATATTATCAAAATATGGAGGTATTTGGCTTTGGATGGTAGAGTCATTGAATATACTAGATAAGTTAATAAAATCAATACCTCTATTTATATATTTTAATTTAAGAAAATGCCGTTTATGATTTTCAGGTTTATCGATACTAGGAAATAGCCTATGATGACAAAAGGCTGTAATAATACGGGTATATTCATACATTGGGCTAAAAAAAAGAAATTTTATCACACTCCAGAAAAATAGCATATAATTTACTTATTGGTATCTGACCCAGTTTGCATAATACTTGATGTCTGCCATAATTTTTTATTATAGTTAACAGATCAGCAAGTGTGTATAATTTATACGATGTTTAATACGTTGATTACGGTTTTTGCGTTTGCCATGAGACCTTTTTTTTCTAAGTCGTTTATCGACAATATTAATGACATCGATTGAAGTTTTAGTTATGTTCCCCTGTCCTAATATTTTGTCATTAAGACCGAGAGGATAAGCTGTTTGAAGTCTTTTTATCCAAATTAATTCGCGAACTTCACGTGACTTTTCAAATTGCTTGTGTGATTCTCCTGGTTGTTTCTAAACGGTTTCAAGTGGTTGGAATTTTATAAATTTTAGATTGTGATTATGCTTATCTAAATGTTGATATATCAAACTTTTGAATTTTTTAGGTCTACGAAAGCGGTAAAGGTGTTCTTGGTTTCTTCTGTAATACTCTCGTCCCGTCTGTCCCACATATTGAATACCACACTTAGGTTGGGTTCAAGTTACCACATATATAAGGTTTTGAGTTTTTCAGGTAATGTCACAGGAAAAGGAGAGCGAAAAAGCTCTGCCGTTCACTGTTGACCTTACAGTATTTTGTGAAGTTAATCTAAAACAGGTTAGTCACTTTTTGGCATTGCACGGGAAAATTTGTGGATATCCACGTGCATTTTTGTTAAACAATCTGGCTGTAGAGGCCTTACAAATACGTCTGTTTAAGCACGTGGATATCCTAGAAGTTGTGTTGTTAATAATTTTCTTTCCATTACGTAAAATCATGATAATTAAATAGGGGTATAGGAGAAATAAAAAAGACCGGAGGTTGTAACATTGAATAAGGATCACAATTACGGAATAGGAAATAATAGGCAAAGCAGTAAAAGAACTCTTACAAAAACTGTTATAAAAGGCCCGACGTAAAGACTTAAGTATAACAATACTGACATATAACAAACACAGGGCAAAAACAGAGATTGTAAGAAATCTTAGTAAAACCATAGCAGGGGGCAATAATAGCAGGCGTGGATGAGTATTTATACATTCAAACACCATAATATATAATTAACAATTAAGAACAAAGATATAATAAACATGTGAAAGCTCTCTAACAGGCAAACAACCCATAATTGAAAAATATAAGGGCATACACCACAAGCACGAGTACACATTCTACTGCATCCACACAGCACGAGCAACAAACCCTGCAGAAAATAGATATAAGATGTGGTATGAGTGCCAATGAGACAACTCTCCATCCAAGTCAAAATCTATAAAAGTAAACCATTACGGGTCAAAGTACGGTCTTCAACATGGAGCCTTGGCTCACACCGAACAGCAAGCTATAAAGGGCCCCAAAAATTACTAGTGTAAAACCATTCAAACGGGAAAAACCAACGGTCTAATCTATATAAAAAACGAGAAACGAGAAACACTTATGAACCACATCAACAAACGACAACTACTGAACACCAGATTCCTGACTTAGGACAGGTGCAAACAATTGCAACGGGTTTAAACGTTTAAATGGTACCAAACCTTCACCCTTATCTGAATCAATAGTGTACCATCACAACATAGAAAGACACACTATAAAATATCAATTGAAATGGCTTAACTCAATCAAAAGACATATTAACACCAGTGAACATACACTGAACAAATAAATAAAAAATAAATGAATAATTAAAGTAACATGTTTACCGCTGTGAAATGTTAAACAATTTAAGAAAAACAAATTGCTTGAACAAAAATATCAGCCATTTGAAAATACTTTAAACACAGGTAAATGAAAATAATTTTGTTGTTCGACTGTATAAGACTGCTATCCAAATTGTGTCCCATTGTTTATTCAATTGTCCAAGTTAGTGGTCATCCTCTTTGTAGCTTTAATGTGCATATTTTTATTGTTGTTTTGGTTTTACAACAAGTCAACTACAGTGGGACATAAAAACTTTAAAACCTCCTCGACACATGTTGTGCCTTTAACAAGTCGGGTATCATGTGTTGTTCGATGATGTTTGTCGTTGTTTTTACGCGCGTTTAAGTTTTTTTTCTGAGGAGTCGGGTGTTGGTAGCTGATGTCGTTTGTTATACTGACGAGTATGATTTGGGATTCCTGTAATCTTTTGTATGTATCTGAACTTGTGAGTTGTTGCCTAACACTTAATACATTATCATACCTCATTTACCAAGACACAAAGAAACGCAATCTCTATACCAGTTAATCTTCCCAACAAATTTCTGTAAAATAATGTATTTTATTATGTACCTGATAATATCATTTAACGTCTTTAATTTCTCCACATTTTTCCTAAATGATTTTGACAAGTATTTGTATTTAAGAAATGGTAATGGTTCTAATATCCTATATTTAAGTATTTGATGTAACGCACGATTCCCCGTGCATATATCAGATATAAAGCTTCATTCCATATCCAGCTTTTCTGTTAATACTGATAACATGCAAAGTAGCTAAAGGTCTAAGCTACGATTTTGACAAGTGTGTTTTTCTTGGCTTCAAACGTTGATTTGGTATCTTTCGTCTCTGTTTTACAAATGGAGTAAATTGAATACATATTCGTTAATTGCATTTAGTCTTGTGCAGATTTGATCATTTGATATCGGGTAAATACCACAGCTATGTTATAATTACTACAGAATTTTTTTTCAAGTTTTTTAACTAAGTTTATCTATTAAGACAGAGTTAAAGAATCATAGGACTTGATGGTTTTGCCTTTATTCAATTAAATTAACAAGAACGCAAGGAAATCTGAGAGATAGAAAAGTGCTGTCTCATGAGAATCTTGGGAGGCAGTAACTTCTGTAAAATTTGGCTCTTTCAGAATTTAAAGCATTCTGTGTTTTAATTTCAAAGAAACGCTCAAGTGGTGTGATTGGTTAAATAGAACACTCCAAACAATGAATAGTCAACAGATAAAGTAACGTTATTCACGTTTAGTGTATGAATAAAGAAAGTAATAATATTCATATCTATACTATTAAATGAGAATCTATACTATTAAATGAGAAGATCTCATTATGTGTGTCGCTTCTCTTCCTTCCACAATAAATTAATCATCATGCCTCTGTGTCCTATAGGTATCATGCATAGTCGCATTTGCCATCCTCACTTATGATTATTCAGTTTGGGTTATTTTGGGAGGAAAACGAAAATAAAGGCATCCGGATATTGTTTCCGTCATTGGACAGACTTTTAAGTCATAGACAATACTTCCGTTTAGGACTGTTTTAAAATTACACATAATTTTCATAAGTACTTGGGACAGGAAAATTATTTTCGCGTTTTTCTGTATACTATGATCATATATATACTATGAATAAAGCATATTTGCTATTTACTATCAATTCCAAGTTTACTATCCACGGCGGTCACTGATATATTCTCTATATAATATATCAGTGACCGCCGTGGATAGTAAACTTAGAATTGATAGTAAATAGCAAATACGCTTTACTTATAGTATACAGAAAAACAGAAAACAAAAAATAATGGACTTTGGAAAAAAGGGGGAGGGCTAAAAAAAAATTGTCCTGTCACCAAGTACCTATGACTTTTGATACCTTTCCTGAAATTCTCCAGTCATAAAATCTTTTACAAAAATTAATCCTACAACAGTTTACATACTTTCAACCACGCTTTAAATGCCCGCGATTTCGCGGGTGTGTTCTAGTAATTATGAATCGACAAAGGAGTGGGGGCAATAAGACCCTTATTTGGCCCAAATATTACAGCAAATTTAAAAATTATCATACATTTTCTTAAATTTGTCCTAACTAGACCAAGTTACATGATATTCAGAAAATAAAAAAACAAATTTTACATTTAACGAGTTACCATAGCAACAAACCATTACGAAATTTGTATATTTTGTAAAATTTCTTGATTTTCCTTGTTTACGTCAATTTTTAAGTATATTTTAGATTGGCTAAGTATGTGCACACCCAAAAAACAATTTTCTTTTTAGTGAGATTATTTCAATAATTATAATAAAGCTTCTCTTAAATTATTTTGTTTTTCTTGGATGCGTACGGTGTTTCCAAAATGGAAATAACGATGGAAAACTACATAAATTCTGTATATTTCATTGTTTTTATGAAAACGGTACATATTATGACGTAATTGTAACGTCATCCGATAAAAAATCTTATGTTTTTCATTTATATTTCTTGACTCTATGCATTTCCAAACATTATGTGCCAATTTGGGATAGTTGTCAAACATTTTATTTTCTTGGGCCAAAATCCGGCCCTAATGCCCCTACTCCTTTAAATCTCGCACTATGGATTATCAAATAGTAGGAGCGTTTTCTACGTAGCTTTTTAACAGATAACATTTTGGTAGTTTAAAAAAAACGGAAGATACTGCAGTGCTATTCTTGGATGGACCGTCTGGGTCTTTTGAAATGTTTCCTTTTCCTACAGATATGTGCTTTAAATACCACCTAAACCTATTAGTATACCTTGGTAAACTGTTCTTATCCAGCCAACTACCAATATGCTGAGGAGTCCACGTTTTTACTTTGTCAATATCAACTGCCATTTTTTTTGACTTTGCAGAAGGTGCACTTGAGAACGATGCAACATGATTGTTTACCAACGGCTTAAACAAAAAAGTCAAATTTATGATAACCAAACATTTGAACTGGTAATGGCAATATATTCGAACTTTTATAAAAAGAATAATGGTTTAAAATCGCTATGGAATTGAACATTGTGGTTTTAAACAGAAACTGTTTTTTTTTGTTTACTTTGAGAGATGTAAACATAAAATTACTAGTACATCATTTATCATTATATAATAATGGTAAAAAAATTAAGTGTATGTAAATAAAAAGTAGCTTAACAATTGTATTTTAAGCTTTTAAAACTACTTAAAAATATATTTGACGCAATACCTGAACTTTTATGTCCGTATTAGGCAATATGGATTCCGTGCCCGTTATTTCTTGTAATGAAGTTTGTACATCTTTGATTAACTCTTTTATCTTGTTTTCGAAAGAATATTTTCCACTGAAGTCGTAAAATAGTTTAGCACCTATAATAAATCCCAACCACCCATCAGCTTTATAACCACCATCCATCTTCAATGGTATGATATTTTTCTTCAACTGAAATGCGTATTCCGCCTCTATTAAAAAATATAATGATTATAATAAATTAGTAATCATGGTGTAAATGTAAAAGGATTTAAAGTGTTTGTTTGGTTTTTGTTTGTTGGTGTTTAGATCGATCCTGGTTTATTATGGCTGCGATATGTTTTTGTTGGATGAAGCTGGAGTATAAAAGCTACTTAGATCACTCAGTCATCCATGTCCTTTATAAAAGGAAAAGGGGGGGGGGGGGGGGGGGGGGGGTATTTAACAACAAATTCAAAAATAATTTCTTCAAACAAAAAAGAAACTGACGATTAATGAATTCTGTATGTGATTTCACTAAAAGCATGATACATCAAAATAAAGTACAGTACATGTGATTTTATATATTTTAAACAGGCAACTTACACATATTGTCATTCAGTAGGATGTCGATAACTTATTAAAATCTAAAATATTAGCAAAAGGGAACTTCAAGAAACAAAAATGTTAAAGAGCATGCAGAAACCTCCTTAGTTTTATTATATCAGACATAAATACAGATGCCAGTAAATGAAAACAGATGGAAATGAAAGGTTACATTCCATTTGTTATGTCCGTACTCCTAAGCACAACTGGTGCCGCGTATGGGCCGAAAACGGCCTATCTTTCTACCTGTGTCCCTGATCTCACACTTAGAGCACCCTTGAGCCAGAACTACGGTATATTATGTGCTGATCAATTTATCGTTCTGTGTAGTGTCGTTTATAATTTGATTGTTTCGCTTGTTATCTATAATTGCATGAACACAGAAATGGGATATCTACCTTTTTCTATTAGTTCGGTATTTTTGTTATATTTTTTTTGTGATCTATATTAGTCACGTCGATACTATTAATATCTGATTCGATGCATTTTTCATGTAATGCATTCGAAATTTTATTAAACTACTCCTTCTTTAAGATACGACTCAATGCAACTATAAAGTGGTGATCTCTAGTTGCATTTGGGAAATATACATTGTGTCTATATACTTTCCATATTCACACAAACTCAATGCCAAACTTTGGTAAAAACTAATATGAAAACAATTTAGTGCTAATGTTATATACACGTATATAATTTGGAAAACAAAATAAGGGAATATGTTTTAAACAATCTGTTATTTCATTAAGACATGGATATTGATATAGTTTGTTGTCAAACTATGGAAGAAGTTAAAATCTAAAGACTTGTGCTAAGAATGTTTTAAACAACTTTTGTTGTTCCTGGAAATTCCTGGAAAATATTAAAAAAAAACAATTTAAAGAACAAGAACAACCATTGTTCCTTTATAAAAGCATTAAAGTCAAACAAGATCAAAAACTTTATCTTATATATCAAATTTTGAAACAAGACGCTTATTCGCAAAAATTGGAACTAGTGATCACAACTTATTCATACAAAAGGGCAGATATCTCAATTTACCTCGAAAAAAAGAACGTGTCTAACCTGTAAAGTCATATAAGATGGAAATCACTGTCTACTAAACGGTAATAAATATAAAAAAAATACATATAAACCTTTTTAATGACGTTGCTAAAGGATATCCTTATAGTATATGTTCAAGTCTTTCTCATATTGAAAAAAAACTAGTGGTTCTACTAAATCCCTGAAATCTAAGCCAAGTGGGAAAACAGGTTTATTTATCAAAAAAGTATAAAATACCGGTCTCGAGACGTATGATACCTGTGGTACTAAATGTACATCAGTATAGGTCCACTGGAGATCTTAAACGCTTCTGTTGTTATAATATCGTCTCAAGAACTGTTTTATCATTGCAATGACAAAATACCTGCAATCAGTCAGATCAAATCATTGTCCAACAATAAATTCATGATCTACAAGTGTTGCAACTGTAAAATAAATTTAAAACAAAATACCTGCTCTACAGTTATCGCTGTTTTTATACTTTTGTGAACAACAGACGAGGACAATGTCGGCTTTCTCCACAGCGTTAGCCATTGCTTGGAGTGTAGATCCATGCATATCATCAATATCCATCCATACTTTGATTCCATTGTTTCTTAGGCATCTACATATATGTTTCATGATTGTCTGATGACCCCGGTTGTAGCTTATCATGACATGACTGTCATGTGTGGCCTTGCTCGTCTTAATTGCGTCAGGTAATTTTAAATTTTCAACTGAAAAAGTTTGCAAATGCAGATGGTCAATTTTAAAAACTTGTATAATCTTCATCATACGGCAAAAGCAAGCACTGTTTACTTTTAAATTACATGATAATTGAAAATAACCTGAAATCAAACCTTTAAGACTGAACTTCCTAACCATTTTAGTGACAACAAATGTTTTGAACTAGATGACACAGTTTTACTATATTTCAAGCTAGGTTTTGGACATTATTAATACAGATAAAGAAAGACCAATAGCAATAAAAAAACTGAAATCGAAAAAAGATTATCGAAATATCCAATTAAACTCACCTTTTTGCTGGTAGAATTGAGAAGTTCTCAGACCATCCTTCATCGTCCAAAGAGCTTTGGTACAAGTTCTCCTAACCTCAGAATCTTCAGATTTACTGTGTCGAATAAATATATCAATGACACAATTATTATCCTTGTTTTCTATCATTTCTGATTGGTTTTGTTTGTCGAAGGATAAAGTCCACAATGCCTTCACAGCCTCTGAAATTGGTTTTGATTTTCATTAGATTAAAACTGCATTGCATTATGGGGACGTTATTGTTTTGTTTGTTCTGACAGGTCCACACCTCATTCGCGAAAATGCTGATCACATGAAACACAATTTAAGCGGACGTGTGTTAAGTCATAGCAATTAAAACTGATTTATCAAACTATCCATTTTTTTTACTCTGCACAAATCAATAAGTATTTTGTCTAGTGAAACTGTTTTGCTATTTTATTTCACAATTTAAGTTCTATTGGTAAAGTACTGATGAACATTCGACAACAATCGAATGTGTGTACTTGCTAGAAACTACCAATAGATAATTTTGTTCTCGCCATTACAGTCAACGAAGACCTAAAGAAGGGGCTTACTATCAAAAGTAAAATAAAAAAAATATCGAACTCCAAGGAAAATTCAAAAGTCCCTTATCAAATGGCAAAATTAAAAGCTCAAACACATCAAATGAATGGAAAACAACTGTCATATTCCTGACTTGGTACAGACATTTCCTTGTGTAGAAAAGGGTGGATTAAACCTGGTTTTATAGCTAGCTAAACCTCTCACTTGTATGACAGTCGGATAAAATTCCATTATATTGACAACAATGTGTGAACAAAACAAACAGACATAATAGTTTTAAAATGTCAAAAATAGGGGTGCAGCAGTCAACATTGTGTTATAATCTTAATCACTATAAAAACAAACAAATATGTCAACAAAGGAAAAACAAAATGGCATATAGACAAAGCGCACAAGCGAAAATGAAAGACAAGAATCCAAAAAATGACGATAGCACAACAACACAATGGCGGGATGTATAAGTGTACCGAGCCTCGCCAAGAGGATATTATCAAAAATGGACTAAACAGTAAAGGTTGATAATTTACAAAGACAAATAAAAGAAAACTATAACACGTAATTAAGATGATAAATAACGTCAGTACCTAGAATCTATACTTCAAGACCACCATGTATTATTTGTGAAGCTGAAACGGAACACAGGTGAAGTTGGTATATTGCTACTAAGGTGGTAGAAATTGATGATTTTAAAATTGAAATCGTCTCGTTTGTCATAGATTCTGGTTTGTCATAGATTCTGGTATCAAGAGTCTAGGTGGGTGCTAATATAATGTCGATCGTTTACTATGATACATTTTGTGTATGCAAATCCTGTCTTCCTTGAAAATACATTATGTTATTGCGACAAAAAAAATACTCGAAAGCCCCGTATGTTCCCTTCTAACAGGATATTCACAACAATACTTAATTTTTAACTACTGTAGTGTAAATTGTGTATGCATTGACAGATGAAACGTGTATAACCTGCTTCCAAATCTTGACATTTTTAGTCATAAAAACATGCTAAATTGAGTTCAGTCTATTTTTGGTAAGCAGGTTGCCATTGACTCGCCATTCTTGTCGCTGTCTTGACCAGTTATAGTGAAGTTTATTGAATATTACTAGCAATAAACGTTTGCCGAGCATGTAACAATACATATATAATATTATTTCTTTTATACACATTAAGAAGTCGTAAATTGTCTTTGTTTTAACTTGCCTCTCTGTTCTTCGGTGTGTTTTGGTTGATCTGCTAACGCCACCAAGAGGGTCAAAGTCCCGTGCGTTACAACCGTTCTTTTATTTACATTATTCCTAGCAACCATTCTTACAGCTGAAAAGAAAAGAGTTTTATTTAAATCTCAGTGATAAATGCGATAGTTGTTTCATGTCCAGCGGCAAATAAATATAGTAATGGATATTCAAGACGATAGTCCAAGTAAACTTGGAGATGTCATAAAGAATTGTACATTATTCACGGAATTATGTGGAATGTGTATTTATCATCAGGCAAAAGAACAGTGTAAGTGAAAATGTTTAATATGAAAATGCATTTGGGACAGTGAACCAGATAAAGTTGAAAGAAATTATATCATTGGTTCATATGAAAAGGGGAGGATAGAAATGATAGAATAAAAGAAGATTTTTGGTAGAGTTTAAAAGCTATGTGGGTAAAAAGACCAATTAGTGATGTGGGGGATTCGAATTTTATACTGCTAAAATATTTCAGTAAGTTTTGTTCAAACTGGTTTGGGTTCCAAACAAACAGTTGAGAAAGTAATCTTGATGAAGGTCTTCAAAAATATCCAAATATTTTATAAAATCATCTTTAAACGTTGGAAATAGCTATTTGGGTCAATTGAAGCAACCAGAAACATTGGCAGAAAAAAGAAGAAAAAATATGGACTGATAAATTCATTAAATTTGAAAATAAAACTACATTTTGAAAAATTGGATTCAAAACGATCTAATTTACGTAAATAATATCAATAATGCCAAAGGCTGTGTTAATTGCTTATGTTATTTTAAATAAATTGAAAAATAAATCAAACTAAATAGCTGAAATAAATAGTCAAATCCAAACCCCGTGCTTGAAGTGTATGCTCTTCTGTATTTTTAAAGTTGTGGTGTAGCTGTTCTTTTGCTTTTTGTGTGTTTTATGCTATACATGTACTGATTTTGTGTCATGGATGGATTTTTTTCCCTATTTTTTCTAAAATGAGTGAGTCACAATCTTAAAGTCGGAAAAACTCTATAAACAGTTATATTACATTGTTTGTGCGAAAGTTGTGACAGAAAAGTGGAAGACCACATGTAAAGCGCCGTCGGGTGTGGGATTTTCTCGCTGCGTTGAAGACCCATTGGTGACGTGTTAGGTCTTAAGTCAGGCTGTTGTCTCTTTGACACATTCCCCGTTTCCATTCTCTATTCTATACTACCCAATTCCTTAGAAGCAGGACATTATAAGCTCTACTGACATCGATCTCAGAAGCTTCCGAAAACATAAAATAAAATGTAGTAGTAAACTCGTCTAAGGTCAACGTGGTTTTGACTTTTCCCGGGCGTGTCAAACCAAAGGTTTTAGACTGGTTTTTAATATTTCTCTACCAAACTTTCGGCACTACGAAAAGGGCAAAAAGGTGAGCTTGGAGTCGGCATAAAGTGTCCACATTTGACTGTTGCTGTATTAGCCAGTACACTAAATAAACATTTTCAGCATGTCAATCTAGTTTTCATATATAATTATAAGCTATCGCATCGAATACACATGTTATATTTTCCGCTGGATGTTAAAAGAATCTATCTCTAAAACAAATTTCTTCACAGAGCCGTACACCAGTTTATGCAGATTTATGGTTTTTTCAGAATTATATACAAATTAAAAATTACAAAAAATCTCGTTTTTTTTACTTTTTCTTAACTTACTTCTTACAATTTCTCGAACAGACCATCCATGACAACGCCTTATTTTGCTGTGCATTGCTTTCTTAAGAGATTTTACCATAAATGTAATCAAGTCATCATTGCTCTGAAGAATTTTGCTTTCCTCCTCATTGACAACATTTGCTAGAATAGCAAGACTTGAGAGTCGTTTTATTTCCGAGGAGGAGTCAATGTACGGTTGAACAGCTTCTATAATTCCGATTTTTCTAAGTTTCGGGATAGAATCTTCGTCTTGTGCAATGTTATGTAAAGTTCCCAATGTAGTGGTTAATAAGATATTGTCATTTTCCTGAAAGTATATTGTATTTTCATTAATTGTCAGTGAAAGATAATTTACAATAATTGAGTTAGTATATTGTAAAAAGACAAGTTGTAAATGCCGTTTTCTCTTAACATTGTTTTTCATTTAATCGCATTTGAAAGTGACGTCTGTTGATAAGTAAAAAAATGGGCTGATGCTTTTCTCACAGGTCATTCCTCGACTCAATTCAATTCTGTTTTGCAAAGGCGTAAAACACCTCCAGTCAATCAATCATTAGTATTTTAAAGGCCCCTAAAAGTATATTATTGTATGATTGTGAAGATTTTAGTACACAACAGGTCAAGCAAACAGAAAGTTCCCCCTTTCCAACACTTGGAATCATTGATATCGATAATTATAGTTGGAGTGAAACTTTTGCTATCGCAGAATATTTTGTTTTATTTCTTACTACACTATTTATTTTGCATTGTACTAATACTTATTGTTCATTGAAAGACTCCCATATACAAGTTTGGTAATTGTGAGAAGGATACATTGTACCATTGTCGTGTGCTCCATCTCCGGATTGGGAATTCTAAACTTTAGTATTTTCACTATTTTTTTCCTCAGATACTGGACAGAAAAAAAGAGCTTTTTACTTCTAATAAAAGTTTTTGCTATTCAAAAATATACCTTTAACTCTTGTCTAAAATGTAGCTCTTTCCATTCGTGTAGTTTCTGTATCAAAATGTTAAGGAAATCACTTTGCTCCAAAATTGTTCTCTGTTGTCGGTAATATTTTGTAAAAAGACAATCATGTTCTTTAATGGCTTGAATATTGCTCCGACCGGTTTCCCTTCACAGTTTCTGTAACCAGAATGAAATATATTTTTACATAGATCACAGAATATCACCAAAGTGTTATTATCGGCGAGTATGAGCTCTCCAGCAAGTTGCAGTCTATATTCAGTTCTTCGTTTAATTGAACTTTTCTTAAGCCAGAAGTAAGAATCATAGATTTTTAAAATGCTTGCTCTCAATCTTTCGGTCAAATGTCCTTGTGATGTGCGATCGTGTTGACTGTTGTTAATCTCTTTCATTGCTTCTTTAGCTTTCTCCAATAACTCTAACTTTTTTACTTCAAAATCTGTTTCAGTTAAAACATCTACGACCTCTGAGGTCTCGTCATTTTTCTCCGTTTCGTCTTCGTCTATTTCTGTCTTTCCATATTCTTTGGCCATTTTCGTATCTAAAATATTTAGCGAGGTATTAGCAGCTGCATGGTCCTTGCTATTTGGTTGTATCGTGTGGCCATTGAAAGCACCTGTATTTCCATTGACACTCTTAGAATGTTTATCCATTGCTTTAAGAACTTGAACCCTTCCTGATGTTTTGATGTACTATAAATCTTTTCTACAAAATATAAGCAATCGTTTTTTTTTTCATTTTTTCAGCTGTAAATGTTACAATAAAAGAGGAATGAAGGGAAATATTTAGATACCATTGTCGCCATGTCTGTTACCATATCAAAACGAGGTTAAGGGAATCTTCCATTCATAATTTCTATATACTAAACAACAAAATCTAATAGAACCATATAATTCTTTTTTTCCCCTTATTTTAAACCTACGAATATAACATGATATTTATCATAATTGATGATGCTTTCAAAACTCTGGTGTGTCAGTTTATTGCAACCAGATTTCAGTACATAGTCTTAGGTCGAGCTTGACTATAAGAAAGATGTTGCTAATTTTAAAACAATATCGACCTATATTCTGAAATTTACGGTTTAAATTTATTTGAAGAATCTTTATTGTTCCTTAATATAAAACACTCGTGAAACGCAAAACACAACAAAATATGTGTGCATGTAAATGTATAATATATAAAGACCAGCGACAAAAGGATATTTTTTGGAGATTGAAGATATAAAATACAAAATTGTTCCCGCGAGACCCTTCAAACTTGTCCTGACGGCTTTCTGGTTCTATTTTCTCTTAAAAAAAGGGAAAATGATAAAATAATGAGGGTGCTTTACAAGAAATCAAATTTAGAAAATTAGGTCACGTGTTTTCTAGACACAAACTTTGAAAATATACCAATCAGAACGAAAACCTTCATCTATACTGTTCGTTTAAAAATTCGGATGTTTAAAATGCTCTGAGATAGAAAATACGTTAGAACTTTGTGTAATCGGGAAATGGCAATACCATAAAGCTTTTAATGTGCTATTGATCAAAACCCTATTCAAAATCAGAAGTATAACGTTTAAAAGTGGCCTACCTTCTTTTGGGTAAACAATATTGTTATAAAATGTCTTCTATTCCTCTCAGATTTCTGCAATAAATCAAATATAGCTTTATGATTTATTCGAGCAGGGTAACGACCTTGTAGCGATCGTGTAATAAAGCTAACACTTAGAATTAAAAAAAAAAGCTATTGTAATTGACCGTTCACTGTTAGTGATCATTGTGGCATCCTCAGTATCGACTGAAAATGACGAACATGTCAATAAATACTATAATAAGTTGATGGATAATTGTGTATATTTAACAATCACCTAGTCATTGCACAAATGCCTACAATATACTTAAATATTTCTATTTAATATCGTCCTGACATTAGTATAACGGTGTTTAATTAAAGTCTATTGACTGACCTGGCATGTGATCATAGTTACATTTAGTCAACTATATCATGGAAGTATTATATTGATTTTACTTCCATGACTATATTAAGAGGATTATCAATGCGTGAACTAATTGAATCACAACAAAAATATAGAAATGTTTACATTTGATATTTTATTTTTATGTAAAACGTGACTCCCTTAAAAAGCTAAACAGCTAAAGGTAGTTTCCTTTAGCAGCTTCATTTTCCAGACAGTTTTGTGCATGGACAATTATATTCAATAATAACAGATCAAGAGTTCCTGAGCACCTGAATTCCCTCACAGTTTTTGGTGGGGTTCGTGTTACCTAATCTTTAGCTTTTTGAGATATGTTTAGTGATTGTTGTTTGTCTTTTCGTAGTTTATCTTTGTGGTCATCTGTTGTCTTGTTTTTATTTTATATATGATTTTTGTTTTGCACCTTAGTAACTCATTTTTCATAAAACTTAAAAGGAACATTTTGAGTTGAACGAGTAAAGTTCTTTCCCGGTTTGATATTAACGAAATGATGCGACTGTCAGCATCTAGAATAATCTTAAAAAGAAGACAGATTGTGCACCAAATAACAAACATATATAAGCACATCTCCACAGAGAGACAACACATCATATCAGAAGAATAACGAATTTCTATCGTATTGATATGATTATTTTGTATTTTATAAAAAAATATAAAGCAAGCAATTGAAAAGATCAATCAATACTTACCTTCAGAACCTTCTTGTCTATGCTATATGTAGTCGTCAATAAATATCCAAAACGTTAGAGATAATAAATAAAGATTTAAGTTTAAACGGTTTTAATAAATTTTAGAGTCCAGTACAAATAAATTTTTAAAATAAACTTTAGGTTATGACTATTTAAATCGGCGAACCGGTACGTTACCTCACAGGAAATCTTAATGGCTAAATCGGTAAATATGAATTAGAATGTATGTTCTATATATAGTAGGACTGTAAAACTGGGTAGTCAGTTTCCCGCCAACAAAACATAACCATAAAAAATTACAACATTACATTTTTTTGTTACCCAAAAGCTGACCATCCTTCCTTCATGTGGGAACCTTTTCCCTTTTCAATACTATGTTTTTTTTAGAGTTGAAAATTTAAACTAAATATTGCCAAGAATATCAAAGCTATAAAAAGGTAAGAAGTCTATATTCACCTACGTATATTCAATACGTTTCTGCTATATTATCTTTTTCTAAGAAATTTTAAACTGTAACATTTTGGAAAACAAATCTCTTGAGCTGCATAATACCGATAAAGAACATTTTTGAAATTCGTTGTGAAATTCTTCATAAAAATACGGTAAAGAAAAAAACCCAGCCCACACTAGTTCTATCATGGAATTGTAAACATGTAAGGTGAAGTCAAAATCCATCAAGTCTAATTATACATGTAAACAACCTAATTCTTTTTGCGGATGACACTGTTTTGTTTAGTAAGTCTCCCGAAATGTTACAAAAGTTATTAGATAATCTATCAATCTATTGTAAAAAATGGAACATAGAGGTAAATACAGACAAAACCAAAATTGTTGTTTTTAGAAATGGATGGCAGCCAGCTAACTACAGTTTCATTTATGACGGTAAAGAACTGCAAATAGTGGACTCTTACGTGTATTTGGGTATGCTACTTCATTATAATGGAAAATTCTTACATACCCAAAAAAGATTATCTCAACAGGGATCGAGAGCGCTTTCATCACTTCTGAACTCTTTAAAACATGTGTTCTTAGCCGCAAGCCAACAATGTCTACTTTTTGATAATATGGTTGGTTCCGTATTAAACTATGCATCTGAAATATGGGTTTTCACCGTGCAAATGATGTAGAGCAAATACACAACCGTTTCTGTAGATTTGTTTTAAAACTCGGTAAAAATGTTCCTTTAAGTTTTTTATGTGGTGAACTAGGTCATTTGCCTATGTATATCTCAAGAAAACAAATTATTTTGAAATATTGGCTTCATATTATTGTAAATAAGCCACCTATTGTTTATGATGTTTATCAACTTTTAATTTATTAGAAGATGCAAACAATGGTAAAAAGAACTGGGCGTCTAGTGTCCGTGATTTATTGTTTAATCTTGGTATAAACTATGTTTGGACTGCACAGAATTGTATAAATATACAGCTAGATGTTATAAAAACTCGTATAAAGGACCAGTATTTACAAACTTGGTATGCATCATTAAATGATTGTGAAAAACTATGTATTTATAAACACCTCAAAACAGACTTTGTAATTGAGAATTATTTGGATTTTTTTATTAATAGTAATTTACTTACAAAATTGAGAAGTGGTACTTTGAAATTGAACTTGGAATTAGGTGGATATAAAAATATCCCTAGACATATGCGTCTATGTGAATGCTGCAATATGGGTTGTATTGAAAATGAGTACCACTTCGTACTTGTATGTCCAGCCTACAGAACTGTGAGACTACAATATTTACCAAAATATTATTGTTCTTGGCCAAATACTTTTAAACTTTTTCATTTGCTTCAAGCAAAATCTAAATCGATTACAATTAAACTGTGTAATTATCTGAAACATGCATGGAAAATTAGATCATGTATTGTGAATTAATTGTACCTTTATCACATTATGTATTGTTTTCTGCTATATGTCGTTTTGTCACATTGTATATACTTGTCTATTTATTGCCATAGCATGTTATTTATGCTTTTGCAAATAAAATATTCATTCATTCATTCAACAGTAAGTTTTACTCACCTGTGCAGGTAGATTTAAGTATACATATATATAGCATTTTCACTATCCCAAATAATCAATAAATGTCATATTGAAATGAAAAAGTAGCACACTGACTCTGCTTAACATAAAAAACCAATTAGTGTTATAATGCAATCGACTCTAGATGATCACTCAATTTGAGAATCAACATAATAATTATTTATCTTAAGAAATTTACGATCCCTGAAATCATGAATATGACAGAATGAATTTATTACTACGGGTATCTTCATCCATGTAGTAATCAGCTGATTAGTTAATGATTGATTTCCACAATGCTGATAAATTTAATAAATGATGAAACAAGAGTGAAAAAGCACGCACTTCTGCATGATCATTAAAACTAGGAGAGGTAAAAAAAGACCAGTGACGTATACCGTGGTATTATGTCTTTGAATACAAGTAAATAAAAGTCGATTACTGTCTCTTTGTCCTTTAATTGTATTGTATTTATAATGCGAGCTAATGCAATTTACGATATTCACAGACCCTGCGTCTTTTTTTACAAATAGAGACTGTATAACACATTGAAATTATGGAACTATACAAATAGGTCTTTTTCCATAAACATTAGATTTTTGGTGGGAAAATAAGTAGAGATTTTCTGATACATAAAACTGATATAAAAAATGCAAATAAACTTCCTAGTGGCATTTGACCATCTTCCTCAAAGATTATGAGATACAAACTAACAGTAAGATACCAATTAAGTTCTGTACCTCAGGTCAGCGATAGAAAAAAGCTGCAATTTTAAGGAAGAGCTATTGCTCACCTCAGATTTTTGCTATAATTTATGTAATAAATAGGAAATATTTTTATGAAATAAATTTATAAAAAAAAGTCAATCACTTGCATTATTTTAATTTAAAAAAAAAGTTTCCATAAAAAAACTTGACTTCGTTGACCATCTTTTGTCTTTCAGTTTCGGTGTCATTGGGAAGCTGTTTCATTGACTTATACCTTTCATCTTTTATAAAAGTTCATCGGAGAGGCGTATATTTTTATATTATTATTCATATTAGTTGATAGTGCATATTTACAATATAGCAAGAACCTGCTGGGACTCAAATAAAAATAACAATGCATATTGAATAAGCACTCTATATAAATCGACGTTTAATGGTTCGTCAAAGGTTTAAATATGTTCATGCGTGTACTTACAAGTTTTTATATGTACACACTTATATTTACAATTTAATCACGTTGCCAAAATAATGGATTTAAATACCGTTCTGTACTTCAGAACCATTTGCGAAATGTATGGTGTTAAAAATAAACTATTTCGCAATTGTCAGTTAATTTGTAAGTCATGAAACATGGGTAAAGTTAGAGCGTTCACGATAAGTTTTGCAAATACAAGTGGAATATTTTATCCTGGACTATGGAAAGCCTCAGCTGTCATATATTAGAGATTTACAAAACGTTATGCTGAAGCTTAAAATGTAAAGTTAAGCCAGCGTGATGTTGAATCGAGTCATCAAAATGCTAACTCTAAATTACAATATGCTAAGTTGAATCTGCGCAATGTTGACTTGCAATGACAAGTGCTTTAGTCGTGATAGTATAATGATAAGTCACGATGTTGTGATGATATGCCAAACACACGTAACGTTGGGTTTAAAGTACATGATGTGAAGTTGACGTTGCATGATGTTAGCTTGCAGATGGATACTGCTCAGTCATCTACATCGACAGCTATGATAACAAATAAAATGAATAGCTCAAATGTATGGTGCTGACTTGTTATTAATTAATGTTGAGCTGAGATAGTACGATGTTATACCATTGTGATATTACGATTAGTCTATCATGCAATCTGTTGATTTAAAACACCATGATGCACAGTTGAAAGTACATGATGTAGAGTTAAGATAACACGATGCTACACCACTATATTGAAACGAAAGGCTTACCATACAATTTGTTGACTTAAACCAACACGATGCAACGTGTTAAGCTAAGATGCTCACTTGAAACTACAGGACGTACAGTTGAAATTTTGTAATGTTAAGCTACGATAGCACGATGTTATATCATTATAATGTCACAGTAGGCTTATTATACAATTTGCTCGTTTAAAACTACACACCGTACAGTTGAAAGTACGTGATATTAAGCTAAGATGGCACGTTGTTATATCATTTGAATGTCACGATAGGCTTACCACACGATATGCTCGTTTAAAACACCACGACGTACAGTTGAAAGTACGGGATGTTGAGCTATGATAGCAATATCTTATATCATAATAATATCACGATAGGCTTGCCATACAATATGCTCATTTAAAACTACACGACGTACAGTTGAAAGTACGTGTTGTTCAGCTAAGACAGCCACGATGTTATATCATTAGAATGTCACGATAGGCTTATTACACAATTTTCTCATTTAAAATTACACCACGTACAGCTGAAAGTACGTGATGTTAAGCTAAGATAGCACGTTGTTATATCATTAGAATGTTACGATAGGCTTACCACACGATATGCTCATTTAAAACTACATAATTTTCAGTTGAAACTAGATGATGTTAAGCTAAGATAGCATGTTGTTATATCATTTGAATGTCACGATAGGCTTACCATACAATATGCTCATTTAAAACTACACAACGTACAGTTGAAAGTATGTGATGTTGAGCTATGATAGCACGATGTTATATCATAATAATATCACGATAGGCTTGCCATACAATATGCTCAGTCAAAACTACACAACGTACAGTTGAAAGTACGTGTTGTTGAGCTCAGATAGCACGATGTTATATCACTATGACGTCACGAGAGGCTTATCATACAATGTGTTGACTTGAAACTACACGATGTAAATTTGAAGAAGTTTGGTCTTGACTTGAAACAGTAAAATGTTAAGTTAAAAAACAGAACGTAAAGTCAAAATAAAACAATGATATGATGACGTGTACTTGTGCAAAATTGAAGATTTTTGGTGTTGACTTCGAATATAGTACAAATATTAAATCGTTTTATGTTAAATTGAAAGACAATAACGATGCGTAAAACATTACAGAATTATGTGAATTGAAACTGCAATTCTATGGAAAAGGATGAGGGACAAATCCCCAGGATTTTTTCTTCTTCATTTGCAAGTTCGGAGGCAAAATGATATACAAAGAAAGTTTTCCATAAATTCATAAAGAAAAAGAATTACCCTTCGCTATATATTTGTACTTGAATACAGATTTGCCTATATTTTACATGTTTTGTTTGGATTTTTTTTTATGATTAAAAACTAGACTTTTTTTTTATGAACAATATTTAAGAAAATATTTATCTATGTTGTGTGTTAATATATACAACATAATATTGCGCTTATAAGACTTCGGTTATGACTGTGAGGGTCAAATTTTACTCATATAAAATCACATCTATGTAAGAGTTAGCGGAGAATTTGTATTTACCACTCCCGTTTTCCACGAAATAAAACATAAGCATCTGGAGTCTTAATCTTAAAAAAAAAAGATCAACTGATATGACAAATAATACGGTAAAGTGTTGGACTGAGAGGGTCAGAGCTATATGAGAATGTGACCCCACCCCCGGCCTTGTTAGAGGTATCTGAAAATTTGAATTTTCTTTTCCACGAAATAAAACAAAAAGAATTGATGGGTGGAAGAATCCTACTGCTAGGGGGGGCCAACCCAAATATAAAGTATGGTAGATTCTGTTGTATACTTTTCGCTTATACATGAAGTCTATATGAAACCTAATGAAATTTTACCTAGAGCCTCCAGTCTAAATCGTCAAATTTCAAAAAAAGAAATACATCATTTACAGCAGTGCCAACCATTTTTTCCAGCACCAAGTAAGATAGTGCCCAGGTTTATGTATATATCCACTCGGAGAATATTTTATTTTTTTAAATTGGTAAAGTCATTGATGGACAATGACCCCTATAACTTATAATAAGAAGCCAATTAATGAATTCCGTTACTTATTTTCTTGTCCATAGTGATTTTCTTGGTTCTTTGCAGCTTCTCTCTGTTTATATGTGTTTTCAAAGAAAAAGAAAAAAATCAAAAATCTTTAAAAATTGTTAAAGTCCATGAATCATTTTGGTATTGCTTTGATTAATTTGTAGATATGTTTTTTTGATGTCAACAGTTTTTCTTTCTCTCTCTCTCTCTCTCTCTCTCTCTCTCTCTCTCTCTCTCTCTCTCTCTTATAGTTTTCATGAGTGTGGTCTAAATTAAAATCGATAGATTTTTTTTTAATTATTTGCAAAAATGTAGTTTATTCTTTTTTGAAAAACATAATAAAAAGTTTGGGCCACAGAGCATTTTGCAAGCTACAGGTTATGCAGTATTGTCAGATTTTGTATAAACTATACATGGAAAACTCAATGTTAGAAAATAAAAATAAAAATTTGGATCACGAGACTCGTTTTCTGTCTACAAAACGAAATAGATAAAGTCCCTACACATTCCATCATTAGAGACGAAATATGCCAAAAGGATTTCAAACTCATAAGTCGAAAACAGACTGGGCTAGGACGAAAAATGTTGTCCTGCCTTTATTTTAGTTGTAATCTCTGTCCTGCCTTTTTATTTTTCACTCTATTGGTCCTGCATTTTTTTTATTAGTTTATTCTGACTTTTTTTTTACATAAATTGTCATCCTGCCTATTTTTTTGCCAAGTTGCTCATTCTGCCTTTTTTTTTTAACTCAAAACTCTTGTCCTGCCTTTTTCTCAAATTTCATTCTAGCCCCCCAATAAAAATCAAATGGTAGCTCCCTAAGATGGCGGAAGACACCCGATCTACCCTAAGGACAATATATCTAATGAGGAAGAAAATTACAATTTCGGTCAAGTCGAGTTACTTGTAGATCTCCTTTTGTTGAAAAGGGTCATTTATCTATCTATTATACTGTTCAGGGGGAGGGGAGAATCGAAAAAAAAAACAACACAAAAATGGATAAAAGAAGGCGAAAGATACAAAAGGGATAGTAAAAATCTTAACCAAACTGACAATGGCATGACAAAAACTCATCAGCCGAAATAAACGAGAGAAAAAAGATCAAAAGCTAAACAAAACTGAGCAGCACGAAACTCTCAAAAAAAGGGTGATCTCAGGTGCTCCAGAAGGGTAAGCAGATCCTGTTTCATATGTGGCACCCGTCACTTGGCGATTTTGCAAAGAAAGAAGGAATGTGTTATAATTTTCGAGGAACTCCCCCCCAAAAAAAAACATGAACTACAGGGTGTCAAATCGATGAACATGCTTAAAATAGGCTCCTTTCCATAAAAAAGAATTGATGAAAATGTATTTGTATTTAGTGTACAGTGGCAAATATTACATGCATATAAGGACGAGAATATGTAAGTGTGATATGAATATGAATAAATCTTTGCTCTGTACAAGACATATTTTGCTTGCTTAGCCGAATTTCTAACAAACTAGTTGACAAACCGCCTCTGACAATCTATGGAAATCCAAATAGCATCGGTTATGATTAAGTCCAGATGTTTTTGTTTTATTTCGGGGAAAAGGGGTGCGTTTTACGTACAGTGGCAAATATTACATGCATATCAGGACGAGAACATGTAAGTGTGATATGAATATGAATAAACCCTGCTTTGTTACAAGACATACTTTACTGGCCTAGCCGAATTATCAACGAACTAGTCGACAAACTGTCTCTGACATTCTATGAAAATCGTAATCGCATCACTTTTGATTAAGTCCAGATTCTTTTGTTTTATTTCGTGGAAAAGAAAATACAAATTTTCAGATACCTCTAACAAAACCGGGGGGAGGGGGTCACATTCTGAAATATCTCTCACCATCTCAGTCCAACGCTAATGGTATTATTTGTCATATCAGTTGATCTTTGTTTTTTAAGATTAAGACTCCAGATTCTTATGTTTTATTTCGTGGAAAACGGGAGTGGTAAATACAAATTCTCCGCTAAATCTTACATAGATGTGATTTTATATGAGTAAAATTTGACCCTCACAGTCATAACCGAAGTCTTATAAGCGCAATATTATGTTGTATATATTAAAACACCACATAGATAAATATTTTCTTAAATAATGTTCATAAAAAAAAGTCTGGTTTTTAATCATAAAAAAAAACCCAAACAAAACATGTAAAATATAGGCAAAACTGTATTCAAGTGTAATATATAGCGAAGGGTAATTCTTTTGCTTTATGAATTTATGGAAAACTTTCTTTGTATATCATTTTGACTCCGGAGTTAAATTTCATTAATATTCATCAACTTGCAAATAAAGAGGAAAAATCCTGGGGATTTGTCCCTCATTCTTTTCCGTAGAATTGCAGTACTTCTACGCATCGTTATTGTCTTTCAATTTAACATTTATAAAACGATTTAATATTTGTACTATATTCGAACTCAACACCAAAAATCTTTAATTCTGCACAAGTACATGTCATCCTATCATTGTTTTATTTTGACTTTACGTTCTGTTTTTTTAACTTAACATTTTACTGTTTCAAGTCAAGACCAAACTTCTTCAAATTTACATCGTGTAGTTTCAAGTCAACACATTGTATGATAAGCCTCTCGTGACGTCATAATGATATAACATCGTGCTATCTGAGCTCAACAACACGTACTTTCAACTGTACGTCGTGTAGTTTTGACTGAGCATATTGTATGGCAAGCCTATCGTGACATTCTAATGATATAACAACGTGCTATCTTAGCTTAACATCACGTACTTTCAGCTGTACGTGGTGTAATTTTAAATGAGAAAATTGTGTAATAAGCCTATCGTGACATTATAATGATATAACATCGTGCTGTCTTAGCTGAACAACACGTACTTTCAACTGTACGTCGTATAGTTTTAAACGAGCATATCGTTTGGTAAGCCTATCGTGACATTCTAATGATATAACAACGTGCCATCTTAACTTAACATCACGTACTTTCAACTGTACGTTGTGTAGTTTTAAATGAGCAAATTGTATAATAAGCCTATTGTGACATTATAATGATATAACATTGTGCTATCGTAGCTTAACATTACAAAATTTCAACTGTACGTCCTGTAGTTTCAAGTGAGCATCTTAGCTTAACACGTTGCATCGTGTTGGTTTAAGTCAACAAATTGTATGGTAAGCCTTTCGTTTCAATATAGTGGTGTAGCATCGTGTTATCTTAACTTAACATCATGTACTTTCAACTGTGCATCATGGTGTTTTAAATCAACAGATTGCATGATAGACCAATCGTAATATCACAATGATATAACATCGTACTATCTCAGCTCAACATTAATTAATATCAAGTCAGCACCATACATTTTAGCTATTCATTTTATTTGTTATCATAGCTGTCGATGTGGATGACTGAGCAATATCCATCTGCAAGCTAACATCATGCAACGTCAACTTCACATCATGTACTTTAAACCCAACGTTACGTGTGTTTGGCATATCATCACAACATCGTGACTTATCATTATACTATCACGACTAAAGCACTTGTCATTGCAAGTCAACATTGCGCAAATTCAACTTAGCATATTGTAATTTAGAGTTAGCATTTTGATGACTCAATTCAACATCACGCTGTCTTAACTTTACATTTTAAGCTTCAGCATAACGTTTTGTAAATCTCTAATATATGACAGCTGAGGCTTTCCATACTGGACAGCCTGTTCAAGGCGAAGTACTTGTTCAAGTTCAAGACGAAGTGAAAATAAGAGGTTAGTTTCCATACCATAACATGTTGATACACGATATGTACTGTTTGAAAGCTTACATTTACATATTCCACAAATTTGCAGATCAGTGCAGCCGGTCGGATGCAACAATTATCGCACAATATAACTGATTTTGAACAAACGTACATAGTTGAAAGCCAGGCCTTACGGTGACCTCTTACATCCACGTCATTTGGACTGGTGAATTATTATTCAATTGGAAATCATACCACATATTCTTATTTTTTCATTTATATATTTCAAATACATTTCCTGCGAAGTGGATGGACGAGGATAAAAACAATGACAATTTAGACTGCCGCATTGGAAAAAATAAGCTTAAGGTTAGTTGGCTTGGACCATGAATTTATCTTGTAACAAGCCAACAACTTAGAGTTGCTGCATCTTTAACGCGAGGAGAGCGTGGTATTATACCTTTTAGACGTTGCTGACTATTTATATATCACACATAGACAAACAATCAAGTCTAACAACCGAACGGTCTAGACGTTCGATCCACCCTTATGGTTTAGTCGCATCAGCTACTGTAGGTACTTACCAGTATAAAATAAGGATATTCGGTATCATTGCAAACGAGGCTTTTACCCAACAGTGTCCAAATGACGTGGATTTAAGCACTTATCGGTCACAATACGGCCTTTAACAATGTACATAACCCATACTGTATAGTCAGCTATAAAATGCCCCGACATGACAAAATGTGAACTATTCAAACGAAAAAACCAACGGCCTGATTTATGATAAAACAAAACAAATACGAAAAATAAATATAACAGACGGCAACCAACGACAACCACCGAATTGCAGGCTCCTGACTTGTAACAGTCACATATACAGAATGTGAAGGAGTAAAACATGTTAAACAGGCCTATCTATCCGTGTGACCCTATGATATAAATGGTTACCGCATAAGGTATAAGTAAAAAGCAATAAACTTTTCTACAATAGTTTTCACAACAAACATTTACGTAAGTGATCATTTTTGGTTTTTTTTTCAGAGATACGATTGGAGTTTGGTGGCTTTGCGCATGTCCATTGGTCGGAGAGTCATGGAAGTGGGAAACACAGGAGAACAGTTCATTACAGTTCAAGAGAAGAATACTTCAAAGTAGTTGTTCCATGTTTATCACCACGTAATGTTTTTTTTTTTTTAATATAAAGTATATATGTATAAGTGGTAACAAATTATACACCCTGGCATCAAAAATACATTCAAACATAGAGCATCGAACCGAACAAGCTAAAATAATGTTAACTAAGAAGTAGATTTCAATTTTCATTTAAACACTGATCTGTTAGTTCATACAGCAGTAGTTTATTAGTTATGCCAGTTTGTTTGTCAATTACTTGAGTCTAAGTTCCAATTATCAATAATCATACAACATCACCAGTAGACTTTACCGTATAATACTTGCCGTGCCATGGTTTCGGGCCTTTTCACGAGAAGATCCGTATTCTTTTATAAAAATAACAACTTTTTTTAGAGGTGGCCAAACTATACTTAAACATTCTGTAGGTGATGTAGTTCGGCACTATAATATCAATTTCATTTCAAAATTATTTAAGAATGGAAGACCTGTGTTAGTAGTTTTATTTGAGTGTGAAAGCTTTGCAAAAAGCATATTTGTATAAAGCACGAAAGCGCTTTATACTAAAAATGTACGTATGGTTTCAAAAACTTCATGTTCACGCATATGTCTTATTATTCCACAAACCATATACATGAAGTAACTGATTTAGGAGTTAATATTCTTCGCATTTTTGCATAGGCAAATCCTCAAACATCTTTGAATTAAACATGTATTCAAATTATTGCACCATTGTCCTTTATCTGTCTTTCGTCTATATATATAGCCGGGTTTTAAACACTTTCAATTCCAATCTCATATTAGTTTTAGTCTTTTCGATTCCTGTCTTACAGTGAAGTTCTTCAACTTTGGAAACCAGAGTGATCTCAAATAGTTTATCAGAATAAAAAGTCATGATAGATATGCGAAATATTTCAGCAGTTAGTTGACATTTCATCTTTTCTGCAACCTCGAATAATCGCAAATACAAAATCTCTCCATAGTTCATAATGTTTGAAGGCAAATCCAATTATACGAAATTCTTTCATTCAAGTTTGTCATGGGTCACGGGAAAATGTCACGAATATTCAAATGACACAAAACATTCACATTTGTTTGCCAAGACGTGGGTGATATTTGCATTGGAATTTGTATGATGTAGAAGATACAGTTTTTATTTTCCAGTCGAATAAATCAGGTCCTCCCCGTATTCGACTCTCCCATTCGCGAGTTTATGTAGACATCACAGAGCAGCGAAATATAACGACTGAATCATTCGGGTCAGTCTATTAAATATTTAATTGTATTTAGACAAACCCCATCAAATGCAGTGTCTTCGGATCATACACTGTTTTGACTTTTCTGCTTAGACCTTTTTGGTTTTCATGTTATAGTTTTGACCTGCTAAGATTTTCGTCTGGAGCGTACATAATGATTGTTTTTCCTGAAACTCGTGCTGTGAGCACGGAAATAAAATCAAACGTTTGTTAACTACCATTGGCTCGGTACCGCTGGTGATGGATCAGTTCGGGCGGGTTTTATCAGCTCTTCAGTATTTGAATAAGATTTTGGATTTTCAAATATTTTGACCTCAATCATCATTGAAGAGATATTGATTGTCGAAATGCGCATCTTGGTGCAATAAAATTGGCACCATTAATGTTATTGCTTCGGTATTGACATATTTTGTCTGTACATTTCTAGTTCATAAATATGTGTAACCTTCTCGCAAAGCTGAATTCGGACGGTTTTGAATGTTTCGTTAATATCTTTTTTTGCTCGCAAACGTTTTTTTGTTCTTTGTTTTTTCACAATCTTTGGTCTCGAACGTACCTGATTAAGATTAGTCCAGACACACACTTTGCGCACACGTCAATCATTATCGAGATTAACAAGAAAGGGGCGTGGAAATGCTCGTCAGTCGTGTGCGCAGCTCAAATGTCGTGTATCCTTAATGATACTTAAAAAAGTCAAATTCTACCAGGCACTCTTTCTTTAACAAGAGAGATGGGTATAACTCTATTCTCTTTACCAGGTTAGGAGTCAGTTAAATCAAAGTTAAAGATCATATCTTTATATTGAAGACTGATTACAAATTTATGACATTCTTATGGGGATTGCTTCTACTTGTTTTTTTTTTTTTGGGGGGGGGGGGGGGACTTTTAGGATGAGCGTGCAGTTACTAGTACACTGTGTCTGGGAATCAGACAAAATGGTTTGAAATGATCACACACAGTAAGATTTATGATTAATTTTACATGGTTTTAAAACGTGTTGCTCAAAAGTCGTTGATCTTGGCTATCTAAAAGCTGTTTGAATATCAGATTTTCGCTTTAAGATTTAGTCAGCAGTAAATATCCAAATGTAACGTTCAGATTGCAAGCAATCAATGAACTATCGAATTTAGTACCCACGTTCATTTCAAGTATACATTTCACTGAGAATACTAAAATAATGAATTTCATGTGAACCAGTACGATTTATGACTTACATAAACCAAAAATAAATACAAGCAAGTGCAATATTTGCACAAAAGAAAGCAAAACGTACGAAATCCCTTTCATCAGCGTTTGACAAAGATGAAAAAAGAACGAAATTGTATTTTGAATCGTATTTTGATTAAATTTCTCCAGCTCAAGGCGAGGAGAATATGATGTATAAGCCAGGTTCCTACATATAAATCAAATAATCAAGTATTGGTGTAAATTCCAATACAGGAATGATACCAGCTGACATTTACAAAATACAAATACAAAAACAGACAAAAATAAACAAAAAACAAAAAACAAATATAAAGAGATATATTTTCTCAATGATAAGAGACACATATTTTATATCTACATTGCGTGGAGGTGTTATTCATACTATATTATCACTTCAAGCTATTACAATAAGCTTTAATACTACAACAGTTCTTAACAACATTATGTTTGCTTTAAATGAATGTTCGAATCATACATATCGCTTATTCCAGCTACACATACAGTACAAATGTCAGTATCATTACTTTTCAAAATGAAACTAAATTTATCTTGTTCAGACATATTAACAAAAGATGGAACTATATCACTTAAATTACAAAAGAGTATATTTCTATTAAATTCTAACGCTTTACATTTAATGAGGAAATGGAATTCATCTTCAATTCCATCCTTGCAAAGTGGACAAATTCTCTGTTCTAAAGGCGTTCTATTATATCTACCAACTTCTATTAGTAATTTGCTTTTACTAATTCTAATTTTCACCATTTTAGAAATATCATTTTTGTTAAGGTCCAGTAGGAGATATTTTTCTAATTCGTAATTATTTTTAACTTTGCGATACGTTCTTAGTTCATTACCATGACTATCTTTATTAGAGTCACAAAAAAGAGCTTGTTTCCAGGATTTTATGAATTCCTCCTCTAATTTCTTTTGAACTGAAAAAAGTAATTTTTGTCTTTGACATAGTATTTTGATTTTCCCAAACATGCTGAAAACCAAGTTTGCCTAATAACACTTTTATTTTACTACAAAAACCATTAGACATGTTAAATTTTTCACTGTATGCTTTCTTTACCATACTCTCGCTATTCATATTAATGATATGAATCCAGAAATTAATTGCATTTTTAAGGGCTGACAATGAAAGTGGGAATACCCTAATTCAGCAAGTACAGCATTATTCACAGCACCTTTATTTACACCCAATAAAAATTTAGCAAATTTGATTTGAATATTATTTGGACTAAAGTTTGCATAGTTTGACTCGATGGTAGTATTTTGTTTCACTAAACTAACAGTAGCCCAAACTTCACTGCTATATTATAAATTATGTTTAACACATGAATCAAAAAGCTTTAAATGTGGTAGTAAATTCATCTTTTCAGAATATAATAATTTTCTAATACAAAAAATAGCTTTGCTAGCCTTTTTAGATAACTGATCAATAGTTGTAGTAAAGATCCAGATGGTTTAAAAATTATACCTAGATACTTGTATTCATCAGTCAGCTCTAGTAGTTTTCCATTATAATAGAAATTGTGTTTTTTAATAATTTTTCCTGTTTTATTGAATATTATAATCTTTTTTTATTAAGATTAACAGATAGATTCCATTTATCACAAAACATATTTAATTTATCTAAAGCATTTTGCAGGCCAGATGCAGATTCTGATATTACTACTAAATCGTCTGCATAAAGAAGACAAGACACTTGTTTATCATCTAGGCATGCTGGATCACATTTGTGGTCAAACGTTTCAACCAGTTCATTTATATACAATGAAAATAATGTATGGCTTAATATACAACCCTGTTTTAATCCTACACATGAGGGAAATGTTTGTGTTAGTCCCTCTTTTAATTTTACAGAGAAAGAGACATCTTTGTACATATCTTTTAAAATATTAAAAAAAGACCCTTTTATATTATATTTTAGTAACTTATGAAAAAGGCCATCTCTATTGATTGTGTCAAACGCTTTTCTTAGATCTACAAAACAAGTGTATAGATGTTTAGATTTTTAAAGGTCTTGTCAATCAGAGTTTTTAATGTTAAAATGTGATCACTTGTTCTGCTATTTTTCCTAAAGCCTATTTGCTCCTTGTGTAATATACTGTTAGTTTCAAGGAAGTTCTCTAAATTGGTAGATAATATCTTTAAGAAAAATTTACATAAACAGCTAGAAAGAGCTATACCCCTGTAGTTGGAAGGATCATTAAAACACCCTCCTTTAAATATAGGCTTAATGATGTTTTCTCTCCATATAGAAGGAAAGATTCCACTTTTAAATATCAAATTAAAAATCAACACATATGTTTTAACTAATTTACCACATGACACTCTAATCATTTCGTTTGTTATACCATCACAACCAGCAGATTTTTTTAATTTTAAGTCTTTTACAACCTTTAACACCTCATCCGCAGTAATACTATCATTTAAACAATCATTATTACAATCAATACTACTAATGTTTTCATCAAAATTATTACAATGTTGAAAATTCATTAAATTTTTAAAGTACTTCAATAATTCATCATGTGAAATATTGGAGCTAGGGTATTCCTTCGCTTTGTCCTTTAATAAATTTACAGATTTCCAAAATTCCGAAGGGTTTTTCTCGGATAGGTCAAGTATATTTTTTAGTATTTTATTTTTATAGCCCCTATGTTTTTAACGTACAAGCTTGTTGAAGTTTTTTCTCTCTGTAAAAATTTTTAGTCTCAAACTAGAATCCCAAGGATTTCTACCTAAAGTTCTACAGAGAGCTTTTATATGCCTATATTTAACATCACAGTCTTTGTCAACCCATGTTTTTTTAAATTTTCCTTCTTTTTTGTTTATTATGCAGTTTTGATTCAAATCTGTTATCTAGGGTTGCTGCTCCCTTTAGTTATTTATCAAAATCAGAAACCACGCCGTCCACTTCTGATGTGCCTCACTTGCTATCAGCTTTTCGGTTTTTGTACAAATATTATTAAAACTATCATAATTTAAGTTTTCAATAAATTTTTGCTCTCGAATTGGAGACCATCTTATGACTGGTGGCAATTTCCGAAGATTACAAATGTCCTGTTTAGGACCCAATATATTACTACAGAAAATGTTTACGGTTATTTGACAGTGATCTGAATTATTTGGATGAAAGTTTTCAATTCTAAAGTTCATTATATTTGATAGGAATGTTGAACTACAGATACAATAATCATCTATTGAGGTTCCGTTGTAACTATGATAAGTTACTTTCCCTATAGAGTCTCCTAAAGTACGTTCATTTAAAATACGTAATTGGGAGCTAGTACACATTTCTATGATACTTTTTCCATAACTATTTGTACGTTGTGGAATTTGAGTATTTCGTTTAATTTGTACATTATCCGCAATGTAGTTAGGTGGAAGAAAATCTTCCAAAGGGTCATTTAGTTCATCGCATATAAAATCTATTTCTTTTGATTCAATATGAGCATTCAGATCTCCCATTATCATGACTTCACCTACTGAGTTAAAATTAAAAATATCAGTCTCAAGTTTTTCAAATATTTCTTTATCCATACCAGTTCTTAATGTATATGACGAATTAGAGGGTGATATGTACACAAAACAAATATAAAGATCACGTTTAAGACCAAAGTAGGTGTGGTCTAATTTAAACCATAGCATGTCATTCAGAGGTTTATCAACTAATTTCACACCACCTATTATTGTTCCATTTCATATTACATATATCCATTTCAGTTTATGACCAAGATAAACCAAAAATAAATTCAAGCTAGAGCAATATAGCACAAAAAAGCAATGCATCCATAATATTAACTACGAATCCCCTGCCCCGCAAATAACCGTATAACCAAGATATGAAACTTTTTAACCTGGAAAGAAAGAAAAAAAAGCGTTTTAAATTGTATTTTGATTTCATTCTCCAGCTCATGGCGAAGAAAAAATGATGTTACAACCAGGCTCCTACAGGTATCCTTTTCAATTCCAAATACCACCAAGTAGTCCATCATCGTTTGAAGGTGGAATCGGAAAAGTAAGGTATTATGTAAAGGGGACTATGGATAAACCGTGGGCTTTTGATGTGGAGGATGTCAGAAATTTTACAGTGCTGAACCTTCTCAATCTGAACCCAATACCTGAAGCGAAAGTACGTACCATGTTTTTTTTTCTTTTCTACAGATTATTTTGAAAAAAAGAATGACATTTTAGACAATGAGGTAATAGGGGTTCCCTTGGGCATATTTGTCGTAGATGGTAATAGGGGTTCCCTTGAGCATATTTGTCGTAGATGGTAATAGGGGTTCCCTTGAGCATATTTGTCGTAGATGCTAGAAGAGTATATGTCTTTTTTGTGACTAAAGTAAACCGTATCGAATTTTCTGTCTCTTAATTAAACTTTTTCTAGAAAGCTCTGTTCAAAAATGTAAACTCAAGTCATATATACTAAAAGAACCTCAAACCGGGAGTTAAGTCATTTATTTTGCGAAAAAAAAATGCAAAATCATTACCTGATAATCAGTGTTCAAATTGTTTATCAAGAATCATGACAAATGTCGTGGCACTGTTAATAAAAATAGCTCTCGGTAAATTCTCTGGAAATTATATTCAGTAATCATGGTGTGATTGATTGATCCAATGTTAGTAAATTGAAATAGGACATACCGAATATGCTGCATATGAAAAGATTTTCTATTGAAAATGTGTTAAATATTTGTATACTCTAACATAGAACCTCGTTGATAACGATATGTATTCACTCGAGATATCAATCCAGATAGTTAAAATTTCAAAATTTCAATTATTCAAAATTTAACTATCGAAAGTGGTAACGGGGTAACATGGAGATGGAAGATACCAAAGCCGTTTTAAGCGACAATCAAATTGCACAAGTCTAACGGGGTAAAGTAGAATATGTTTTGCTGGTGATTTAATTAAAAATGTCAAGTGCAATGTTCCAAATGAAAACGACTGGAAATTACACAAACAAAGAGGCAGCCAAAGGTCAATTTTATCGGAATTTATTTCACATCAGGGTAATTTTTCTTCATCTCTTCTAAAATTCCCAGTATAACATCAGATTCATATGTGTACTAATTTATTGGTAAACAGCAATTTTAATAGGTTTGTGCAAGAAGCACATTCTTAACCAAAACCAAATTCTATTTTGTATAATTTGTATTTCGGAAACGCATAAATTAATTTTGGTTAAAGGGGTCCTTCGAAGCATGTAATAGTAACTGATATTCATGTTTCAAAAGTATAAAGTATGTTAATCAATGTTTATTCCATCAGCAAGGACAAGAAGCTCAAGATTCCAAAACGCTGTGTTGTTTGTGTTGTGCCTCTGGTCCAATTTCGGGCAAACACAACATACCCGTTTCTGGTTATGTACCAGGGGAAGCAATTCAGATAAACGCTGAATTAATCAACCACAGCAACAGAAATTGTGAAATATGGATGGAACTTGTACAAGTAAGTAATTCTAATAAAGGGTGTGACACATTGTAATTACCACTATGTATATGTAATATTGTAAATGTTGTTAAATTATTCAACCCTTCAAAAATTATTTTAATTTATTGATAAATGAATAGGATATAATCTAGACATGTATTTTTGATGTCACAAACATGTTGAAATTGACAAAATATCTTTTTTCAGTAAGGCCTATTTCGAATTGTTTTGCATTGAATCCACGGTTTATAGCACTAATGAAATGTTTTAGATAAAATTCACAAACTCCTTACTGATCTCGTCTGATCTCTGATAGTCTAATGTCTGAATGATGTTATTTAAAACAGAGATTTATCATAATCTTTATTGACTTTATTATAAAATTCTAGGAGCCATAAAAATGGCCTCAATGTACCTTTTCCTTTCTTGCTGTTATTTTCGATAACATAAAAGTTTTAAAAAAGTTTCGTCTTCGTAACACAATATTGTACCAAACTCATCGCTCCTTTGGAATTGGCCAATATATATATATATAAATCAGTACATTTTTAAATGTGAGTTGAACTTTACATTATTAGATGTCATATGGTCAATTTTATCGTTTGGTTGCTCTCTCATTTGCGTCTACCCCAAATCTTCTTTGATTCAAATCAATGGATGTACACAAATCTATAAATATGTTGGTTGTAAATCTTGATTCTAATATGACCCGAAAATTGTTCGTTCAAAGTTCACTTTCAGAATTTTGTATGTTTTTATAATTCATGCTTTTTATTATCATTCCGAGTCGTCATTGGTTTTTAATAATGCAATAGTTCATTGTATAGTACACTATTCAAAAGTTACTTGTATTTTACACTTAACTATAATCCTTTCATTTAAATTAATTATCAAAGATTTATATCCGTCTTTATGATAGAAGATTGTGTAACAAAGAATATAATAGATACATTGACACTAAGTGATAACTGCCGAAAGCCATTCTTCACAAACTTATACGAAACGGTTTATTCCCGATTGTCCCACTTTTTAAAATTATAGAGTTCTGATTGTCCCACATGAAAAGTTCTGATTGTCCCACATTATTTTATGAAGTAAAATGTTCTTAGATAAACAAGGTAACTGTTGTTTGTTTTGCTAAATAAACAAGAATTAATAATTGCACATTTAATACTAGTTTTATAAAAGTAAAAAAAAAATTTTTTTTTTAAATCATTAGATTAATGCACTTTTGATTAAAAAATATAAATTATATTTTTGATTTATGAAACATATCTACAATGTTACGTTATTTATAAAACAAATGTCAATACCGTAATTTTTATAACATTTTCTCTAAAGTTTTTAAATAAATTTAGAAATAATGCATGCACTTAAACTCATTTACATTCTACACCCTACACAAACTTGTTGATGGAGAGATGTTGCCATTAGTCTCTGCAATTTTACTGGTAAGTCTGCTAACACCCAACGTCAGATTCTCAATTTTTTTTGTCACTGAACCATGAAAATGAGGTCAAGGACATCGGACATATGATAGACGGAAACTTTGTAACATAAGGTATCTGCATACAAGGTATGAAGCATCCAGGTCTTCTACCTTTTGAAATAATAAGCTTTATGCAAATAGTTTACGCCGCCGCCGGATAGTTATACCTATGTTTCGCATACTGCGACTTTCGTTGCAGGCGAGACAAAAATAAGAAGATGTGGTATGATTGACAATGAGACAACTCTCCACAAGAGACCAAATGACACAGAAGTTAACAACTATAGGTCACTATACGGCCTTCAACAATGAGCAAAGCCCATACCGCAAAGTCAGCTTTAAAACGCCCCGATATGAAAAATGTAAAACAATTCAAACGACCTAATTTATGTACAAAATAATGAACAAAAACAAATATGTTACACAGCAATAAACGATAACCACTGAATTACAGGCCCCTGACTTAGGACAGGTACAGTTGAAAAGGGCTTATCTCATCAGATGGGTACAAACAGAAATACATCTAATAAAAACATAATGGACGTGGACGGCTACTTATACATCCCCACAACAAAAAGACATTAAGTACAGATGTGAGAGTACTCGCAGTTACTGACAGCTAGTTCAAAGCCAATAAAAACCATTTGAAATAAGTCTTCTATAGGTACAACCTCATGCATGCTTTATTGTTGTACTTATGTTTTATGTGTGCTTTTTTGTTGTACCTTCTGCATTGTATGTGCTTTAAAGTATCTGTTTTCATGTCGTGTGTTTGCCTATTAAAATAAATTTAGCTGTTTATTATATGTGCTTTTTATATTAAGCTATTTATTATGTGTGCTTATTTGTAACTCTTAAGTACATATTTGTGTAAAATTTAGTAGTGCTTTATATGTGCTATTCTATGACTTCGTATTATATTTTATGTTTGATGATACTTCAATTGTGCCAAATATGTGCAAAATAAAGTTACATTAATTAGTAACCTGCAATTAACAGCTACACACTATAAAATCAAATTAATCACTATCAAAACAATTCCAGATTGTCCCACATTTAAATTTCCCAATTGTCCCACATACATATTCCCGATTGTCCCACAACATTTCATTACTTTTTTACATGTAATTTCAAAAAGTGGGACAATCGGGAAGACACCTACGAAACATGTTTTTAATCCGTAATCCCCGCTTTCGGCAAAACGCGATTTATAATATTTGATAACAAGATATTTTGATTGGTTCCTTTTCTGCATGTCAAGCAGTCTTTTAATTTGTATTTTATATTTGTTTTTATGTTGTTATTCAGTTATGTTTTAATGATTGAAGTATATGGATGCGAAATAAATATGAAAACTTTCCAGCGACTTGGACTTTATTTAAGATACCGCTAGTTTCCCCCGAAACTAATTAATATGATAGAGGTGACCAATAACCTGGTCATACTAACAAGACAGACAAGACAAGACAATTTATTCTTTAAAACCATTGTATACACATTGGTACAAGAATGAAATAATAAAACATAGTATACAAATAAAGTGTGCACATTACAAGATAAAAATGTTACAATTACTAAACAAGATCATTTAGTTATTATACTAGAAAAAAAGATACATAGGCAAAGGCTAACCAGGAAGACCTGCTAGTGAGTTTATAACCTTTTTCTGTTTTCTCAAGTCGTCTAGAGATCTACAATTCAGAAGAAAATGAATTTCCTCACCAAATTCTTGACATTGATATAAATTTCAATATCTTCTTTGTCTACCTAAACCTATCCATCTACCAGTTTCAATTGGTAATCTATGATAGCCAGTTCTAAATCTACAAAATATAACCCTATCTCTATCTAGTAGTATATCTAAATAGTTTTCGAGTTCAAACTTATCCTTATATAATCTGTATGATAAGCCTTTTGATGAATTACATATATCTGAATGCCAGTTTTGTTGAAATTGGTCAAATAACTTTTGTTTTATACTATCATTTAGCTATTTTGTGCTAAAGTCAGTTTGTACTAACCAGATATTACTATAACCACAAGTATCATGAAATTAACCCATTCAGACGTATAATTATTATGTAAGTATTTAAAATACATAAAGTTAAACAAAATGTTTGAAAACTTATTTTCTTTGCCGTGAACAATTCGAGCCCAATAATTTACTATATGCAGTTTAATGTAGACTGCCATGGGATACACAACAAGTTCGCCGTATAACATAAAGTTTGGAGTCGACTTCTTTAAGTTCATTAGTAGCTTACTTATCATAACGAGTGTCCTAATGTAACATTATAAGTACCACTCCGCCCTAAAAATAGTAAAAAAAGGAGATTCATTGGTGGAAAGCCTACATGTATTTATTTTTGAAATGTTTAGTCACACCAAAAATAAACATAATTTCTACTTTTAATCAAGGTCATCTGAGACATAATTATGAAATGCACTATAAAAAATTGGAAAGGAAGATAACTCATTAATTTGTAGTACTTTCCTTTGAAAGTATAAATTTCTTTCATGATCGATATATGGAAGGCATCACAAATACCTTGTTTTCATGATTTTTTTCTAATTTGATACCATTGGTGGATTTGGTTTGGTTATACAGTGTAGGTAACAATCATTCTTTCATACTGCTTCAATATTTTTGATTTTTCATACATTGTACTATGTTATCTGTAATACATGCCTTTGTAAAGGTGCGAAATACCTTTTGCAGGAATAAATTGGAAACAGATGTATATGAACAAAATAAACTATTTCTACTAGTAAACTAAATGCAAAGAGAGAACTTCGAATATGAACGGATGAATACTGAATCCAACAAATGTTCAACAGGTACAAAGTCTAGGTTCCTTCTTTAACACAGTCAATGGAACCGAAAACAAGGAACTCTTAAACTAATTAATGTATAATTTGTTGTATGCATGCATGTTATATGTAATTTGTGTATTTTGTCACACACTGTTATGACTACAAATATACAATATATTAATATTTGTTTATAGTTATATAACTTTAAATGATGTTCAATTTATTTTTGTATTGCGTTTTATTCGTGTACTTTATGAGGAGCCATATTTTAGATATACACATAGTATGAAGCAGAAAAAATGCTACGGCGGTTGGTTAATTTTTAGTTTTAACCTGTAACTTCATATAAACAAACTGTTGTTGCGATACATATTCATCTTAAGTAATTTTTTTATTCAGTCTATCAGATATATAACTGCAAGAAAAACTAGAACTGTGAACACTGTTGTGCAAAAAACTACAGCAAAGACAGTAGGCAAAGGTGACTCAGATTACTGGAGAGGGGAACAGATGACAGTACCACCGTTACCATCCACTGGCCTTCATGGCTGTAATATAATAGACATTACGTATTTTTGGGTTGTACGTATATATAGTTTATTTGATATGAAAACTTACATTCAAACTCTTTGAATCTTTTAAATTTGTTTTGCATATATTTCTTAATTTTTATTGGCATGGCACCAAACTGAATAATGGTCTGGTTAGAAAGCCCTTTTATTTAAAGGTGAAACTAACCTTAAAAAAAGAGCAGTCAATTGAAAAAAACATAAAAATCAAACAATGAACGTATAATATATGTTCAGGTTAAATAAGTTTTCTTTACTGGTATGTGATAATTTTTACCAAGCTGTTCATTTTCTTTTCTTTTTTAGTTGGTTTGTGATCCCTCGGGTCCAGCTATCAATTTGAGAGTCAATATTCCTATTATAATAGGCGGAATTCCACTAGTTTCTGCTGCTCAACTGTATGGCAATGTCAATCCCATGAATACTGGAACTAGCTCGTTTCCATCACCATTTCAAGTCTTTCCAGAAAATGTCCGTAAGTATATTTTTATTTTTTATCTAATGCACTGTTTTAAAGGTTACATATAAGGGGACATGTATTATTTGATTGATTGATTGTTGGTTAACGTCCAGTGGCAATTATTTCATGCATGTTCATGACGAATGTGTTATTTTAAAAAACGGAAAATAAAAGCGAAACTACAAGTGAAAAATGGAAATAATTTCACGAACGAATTGTGGCGTTCTTCTTATTTGCACGCATATGGCGTTAAAGACTTTTCAACAAGAAAAGATACGACACACTAATGATAGTTACAGGATGCTGTTACTTAAAGTCCCCTTAGATCCCAATAATCATATTGGCTTTGAAATCAAATTGCTCGATATATAAAAAAAAACAATTTTGGTCAACATGTTTATAAACTATATACTAGATGCGAAGATACATATTTTCAAAAATTGTAGGCCTGAGAGTCTTTCAGGAAAGTTACCAAAATTGGAATCACATCCTTTCAAGTTCAATTGTTCCATGTCAAAGGTTACTACAGGTCATAAATGTTCCCAAAATATATGGTTGATAGGTTTCAGAAAAGTTACCATAAATTGGATTCACAATCCGTCTTAATTGTTCCATGTCAAAGGTTACTATAGTTCATAACTGTGATAAGTTTCAGAAAAGTTACCATATATTGGATTCACACTCCGTCTTAATTGTTCCATGTCAAAGGTTACTATAGTTCATAACTGATAACTGTGATAAGTTCAGAAAAGTTACCATATATTGGATTCACACTCCGTCTTAATTGTTCCATGTCAAAGTTTAGGTCGTAACAGTTTCCAAAATATATGGTTAATATATTGGTGCTTTTCCAAATCATAACTTAACTTTACCAAATTTTGAATCACATCCTTTTAAAGTTCAATTGTCCCATGTCAAAGTTTACTATAATAGGTCATAATAGTTATCAGAATATATGACAGTTGTATTTCACTTGTTCCGTTGATTGATATCGTATGATTTTGTCAGTTTTTTATGGACTTCATCCTTTTTGAATTTGCCTCGGAGTTCGGTATTTTTGTTATACTTTTTTGATAGGTGTTTTTCTAAATCATTATTAATCTGAATGAATTCCAAGAAAATTGAAATTCCATCCTTTGAAATCCAATTGTTCAAAAATTTGAAATTATTAAAATCCAATTGTTTCATTTCAAAGTTTGGGTCATAACGTTACCACGATTATATGGTTGATAACAGTTTTTTTCAAATAATGTTGTTCTAATCAGACTTCAAGAAAATTTACCAAATTGGAATGTCATCCTTAGAAATCCAGTTGTTCTAACTAAAAGTTTTTGACAATATATTTTCAAAAAATAAAGTAGCTATGTACCTTTTTAAAACAAACTGGGTCTGAGAGTGGTTAAGGAAATTAACCAAAAGTGGAATTGGCAAAATAATTATATCATATGATTCAGTTTGTCATGTTTCGAAGTATACATGTAACCCAGTGAAAATTTGGTTACAATTAATGCAGGAATAACTAGCGACATTGTATTACAATTAGAACAAAGCTGTGAAAATTTGGGCTCTATAAATAACTGAGCAAAAAACAATACGCCTCTAAACTTCGTTAGAGAGATTTAATATAAAAAATAACAGTTAACATAAAAATAGCCCATTAGTCGTACCAAATATTCACTGCATAAAACATTTCTCCGTTCAAAGTTCACATTTGTAATAATGCAGAAATGGTTTACCTAAATGTTTCCGCCTGGCATGATTAAATCAAGGATTTATATAGTCTTACTATATAAATACTTGATTAAACCCGTTATTGAGATAAAAAACCAAGTTACACATAAAAAACAATAGAAAAGACATCTAAAGATCGATAAATGGTCTTAGATTAGAGATAGGCGTATAATCATATTTGTCAATCTCTAAAACCACAGTCTTTACGCAAATACCCTAAGCACGTGGTATGTAGGAGTAAGAATAAGGACAGCTCGGTTTGTTTTCATAAGGACGGCTTTATGTAATTGTTTCTGACCTATTTGGGAACAATCCTAATGTTTGAATTTAATCAAACAAAATTTTTCTTCTTCTAGTCCTTCTGATGACCGGTTAGGATGATTTGTCAAAACATAAGTCTAAATCAGTCAGTCTATCGAGCACAGAGTAGACATGTGTTGCATTTTGTTTGAATGGATCAATCAAACCCATCGACGTTGTTAGAGTTGAAAATGTTTTGGTTTGCTGAACCTACTGTTGTCAGGCATTCCTGACCATGAACACATTCTTCTTTTATTTTAACTTGTAAAACCAAATTGAAGCCTATAATTTCCTATTCTTCTTTTGGTTAAAAACACTTTGCTTAACCAATCTTTAATTCAAATGTGACAATAAAGATAATGACACCAAGCTGCTTAACCTGGAACCATGAATATAAAAATGGAATCTTGGAAACTTGTACATGTATGTAAAATATAAAACACATGGTGGGTCATCTTGGACATTCTGTTAATCATACCTTAAACAGTATAGTGTTTATTGTATTGTTTGGAGATTTGTATTTAATAATTATTTTTTACTGGAATTCTCATGCTCTTTGATTTTTACGAAATATGTGTCCGTTTTGTAGTGCGAGATGTATACATGTCAAATATATTGCCACTATGGTCGATATATTGCCACTTTGGTCGGTCTAAAGAATTAAACCAAATAACCGGTTCATAGATTTCTAAAAGGTTAACATTCTTAAGATTTACTGTATATGCAAATGATTGAATAAGGGGTATTTGAAATGACGGTATACCAGTTACGTGGGATTTTTCAGCTTAGCGAGCTACAAAATATGAAAAGTACAATCTTGATTTCTAAACAATAACAGAAGGAAACAAACATATGTTGTAAACATACACATCAAAAGCTTGAACAAATATTGCATTTTATTTAGGTAGAATATAAAATCAATGTTTATACTTTGACAAATTGTATTTCTTACAATATGTTATCAAATATGTCATTTGTCTTTTAAGACGAATACTTCTATGTTATGAAAATAATGCTCACAAAAAAGTCTTTCACACTAATTTTAACAAATTTGATGAATTAAAAAAAATAGCTACATGTACATGTATAAGAGCTCATTTTCAATACTATGCGACCCTCTTGAAACATTGAGTAACACAATAGCTGACTGAAGGGGAATAAAAATGCAAATGCACAATCAACATCTTTGTTTTCGATTCAAAATTCTTAAATGAATGACAATAGAAATACTGTGCAAACTACAGATCTTCTATGGAAGTTTACCATTCGTTGTTTTTGTAGACTTTGTAGGATATTCATACAAAATATATCAAGAAATTTTCAAAGCTTTTTGTTCTTCTCATCTTAATTTTTGAAAGTTTAGATGTTCATATCCTTAGGTTTTTTTTAAGTTCCATATATCTTTAAGCAAATATAAATTCTAAGGATTTAGTTCAAAAGGGTCAATATTGGCCCTATAATTCTGTGAAATTTAAATAAACTAATAATAGTAAACATCTAATGACAAAATATGTAAAAACATCTAACAAAATCAACACGTTCTTACGCATTATAACACTTATGATGTCATAATTGTGTATTCTTAAAAAGAAAATAATAATTTGAACTTTTTGGCTACATTTTATTAGTTTTTGCTTCAAACGACATTGGCAACATGCAAGGACCACCATCCTATTTTGTAAGGATGTGTATCTTATCCATATAAATCTTTGTATAACAAATTGATTTTGGTCGAAGGCTGTGGCCAATTTTTTTCAGAAGGAAATAGACCTTACAAATGCATAAAAACAAGCAAACTGGCTAAAAATCCTGTAAAATAGCATACTTTTGAAGCTGTCAAAATGGTTTAGACGAACAGCAGACAAAAAGGGTCCAGTTTATCTAAATTATAATATTCAAGATCATAATTATAAATTTTTTGCATATGATATAACAAAGATCAATTTTAAGGGCCGAATTAAGGCCTTTGTGGCCCTACTGTTTTGCATTTTGGATAATAGAATTCAACCAGAATAGGCTCTTGTTGAAGTGATGATCAAACAGTTATGTTTAACAATTATCCTTTGTATTTGGTCCGTTGTGATCACATTACGATTGTTTCTGTGAGTTTTGCTTTCGTGACTATGTGACTTTTCGCAAGTTTCGGAACTGAAACAAACCGATCCGATACTTATTGCAAACTTGTCCAACTATTGTATAGCCAAATGGAGTGCCTTTAAAGAAGTTGCTGTATTTTGTATCGTGTTTCAAAAAGGGACCAAAAGGGGACTTGGAATATGGTGTGTTGCGTTTCTATATTTGATATATAGTACTAAGTATCCGTAGCAGAATGCGATATATGGAAGTTGTTCACACCCTCGTCATTTGATCACCGGTTGACAGTTTTCACATTTGAAATCATAACACATCTTCTTACTTTATACAGTAGACTTTATATATATTGTTTAAATTACAAATAATGAGTACCCTTCGCACCCTCCTCGTGTTGTTTTGGAGACATCGTCCATGCTTATTCTTTTGCTTTGTATAAAGTGGGGAAAAGAATCATTTCTGAGTCGAGGGTGTCTCTAAATCAACAGCATTGTGGATAAACACAGAATGTCTAACTTATGATATCGTAATGTTTAACAATGTTTATGAAACCAGGACTTCCGTTTGTGTATGTCTCTGTTTATTCCGTCAAAAATGGGAGTTTAAAAGGAAGCCGAAAATTGTCGATGTAGACATAATTCATTTATTTAACTAACATTCATAATTTATTTATTTTTGGTTATTCCAGCGCAACCAGTATTTGCATCATTTTCAACTGGGAATCATTTACAGAACCCTGGACAGGCTGACAACACGGTAGCGCCATCTGGTGACAACCAACAGGACGATATGTTCACACCTCAGTATCCATACTATAATTGGAACACGTACGACACTACATTCAAACCAACTTCATTCTAGATGAAAGCTGTATTGTAATGGTCTTTTCTTTGATTATATAAAATAATTCCTTAAAAAGTGACACTGACAGGCACCTGGCAATTAATTTAAGACTTTAAAAGCAATGTCTGTGATATTATGTATTTTGATATTAATTTGATGCATAAATAAAGTTTGTTAGTAATGGATTTGCCATTTAACCTACCTTTGGGATTTATTTTAATGCCATCAAGTAGGACAACGGACGTTCTCCTGAAAAATCGTTTATAACATAACAGCATACCTTGAAATCAAACTACTTTTTCTATATGTAAATAAACAACTACACGGTTTTATTTTTTTTCACTGGCGATGGAAAATACATATGCGGGTGCATATTAAACTAAAATTATGACAGTAAAAAATGTTTGACAATCAAAATTTCGTAACATTTGCAAAATGAATACCGGTTGAAGGAATACCTGAAAGACCTGTCAACAGAATTACAAATTACTGCCTTTTAAAACCTTACCCAAAATTCCACCCCCCCCCCCCCCCCACACACACACACAGCACAAATAGTCAGCACCAAAGAAAAACAAGATACTAGTACATGAGTTCTGTTTCAGTGGTTGTCGTTTTTTTATGTGGTTCTAAGTGTTTCTCGTTTTTTAAATAGATTAAACCGTTGGTTTTCCTGTTTGAATTGTTTTACACTAGTCATTTTTGGGTCCTTTATAGCTTGCTGTTCGGTGTGAGCTAATGCTCCATGTTGAAGGCCATACTTTGACCTATAATTGTTTACATTTTACACATTGTGACTTGGATGGAGGGTTGTCTCATTGGCACTCATACCACATCTTCTTATTTCTATTTAAAGAAATAAGACTGTATCTGTTCAAACAGAAGGTCATTATTAGAGCTCAAGTAATGGACTTCTGGTTCTATTAATGACAGGTGTGGCGGACAGTGGATTATCATCAACATAGCAGTTTCAAACTTTTAATAGATAATTATTAATAGCTCACGTTAGCAGTGTTATCAAAACAGTAGCATTTCAATGAGAAGCAATATTAATCGATTTTAACAAGAAGATTATGTAACTCTTAATTTTCTGACTAACAAACCTTAAGAATTCAATAGGTAGTCACTCAAGTAATTAGTATTGGTATCATTTATTTTGAGGACAATAAAAAAATATTGTTACTTCCAAGACTAATTGCCGAAGTGTATTTTCGGACAGGGACAGGAACCCGAATGATTATTATTTTATTAAGTAGCAAATACAAATTTAGTCCATCATTGTTTACCCGGCCGTGGATCGAACCTACGACTGAACCCCCGAGCTCCTGGCGAGCACGCTACATTGAGATCACTGAGTCGGCTCTCATTAAAAGGAAGCATACAAGTGAATCAAATAGACTTGAGCATATACACACATTACGTATAGGTATTTTGTTACTTCATCAAGAAAAAGAAAACATTTTCGAGAAAATAATTCTAAGTAAGCTTTTATAGCTTTCTGTGTGGTATGGGTTTTGCTCATTGTTGAAGGTCGTACGGTGACCTATAATTGCTACTTCTACGTCATTTGGTCTCTGGTGGAGAGCTGTCTCACTTGCAATCATACTTACTTTGTGTGAATATTTGTTTGTTTTATAATTATTATTATTTGTTTTTGTTTGATTTATTGATTTTTTTTTCTTCAGAACTTTAATTATTATGATGTTTAAATTTGTTTAACTGTTTTAAATTGTTAATACCGGAGAACTTTAATTTGATTAACCTTCCATATATTTATTTACCTAAATAAAAAAAAACATGATGTATAACATGTATGACATATAGGTCGCGATGAATCTAATTTGTTCATGCATAAACACGATACATTTACAGTATTACAATATGTTGTGAATACAACTAAAAAATAACAGAAAGTACTCCGTTCTTAGTTCTATTTACTGTTTTAAAAAAGAGCCGATTACCTTCACACATAGGACAAAAAATATACTAAAATTAACAATCATTTTCCCTATTCACAATTAAACTACATATATTATCGGAGTTGAATATTTATTTTACCCTTGCAAACGACTGGTTCTCATCTGATAATCAAGTCTCGCATTCAGCTAGTTTTGTGTAATGTTTTAATAATATCATGATTTATCAACATATATTACTTATGGAAATAAAGCGAAGATGAAACATGGTATGTTAATTCATTAAGTTATATGCACTCTGTTGTTTTTGTTTTGGTTAGAGGGCTACCCAATCTATGATTGTTATGGTGTTTTGGTATGGTCTATACAGGGAACTAGTCAGTGTTTAAAATAAACTATATAAGTTAATGATTTGATCCATGGCGTGTAAAACATTATCATTTAAACCCGTTATTGAAAGAGACCTTCGAAGTTTAAAAATCCCTTGATTTACAAGGTGTATATTCTTGGCATACATATGCTAAAAACGTCTTACCAGACAATAAACTTAAAGGCAAAGTTGCCAACTGTAAGAATATTACAGATGTAAACCATTTAAAATCAGAACTAAACATGAAAAATGAAATAAATGACTATTATAAAGATTTATATAAAAGTAAAATAGAAAAAATCGACGAAAGTAGCAAACTTTTCTGTAAAAAAAACTAAAACCTTCACTTGAACTGAGCAAATTTTTACTTATTATTAAATGATTTTTCTATCAGGAACATTTTTACTAAACTTCGTATAAGTGACCATGGTCTTGACAGGGGCGGATCCAACCATTTTTAAAAGGGGTCCGGGGGGAGGGGGTGTTCCAACCATATGTCCCCATTCAAAAGCATTGATCGTCAAAAAAAGGGGGATTCCAACTCCCGGATATACTGTTTGGTTTTTATTTTGTTGTTTTAAATTTGTATTGCCACAAACATACTGTACATGTTTAATGACAATAATAAAATTGAAATTAAATGAAATTAAATGATTATAAAATGTATTGCTTACGCTATCGAAGTGTCTGCTTTTTCCTGTTTGCTTTGCTGCTTCTAATAACCTAGCTGGGATTTTTTGTATTAAAGAATTTAGATTACCACAACAACAGCAATAAATGAATTATGAAAAAGTTGTGTGCATACCGTGACGGTTTTTTTTTTCATAATATGTATTCTGATTTGTCAAGAAAATGTTGGTGCTTATGAATTTTTTCATATTTTTAAAACATTCAGTAATGCAAGTTTATTTTGGAAAAAATAATCATAAAAAAATTATGTTAAAAACAAAATAAAATAAAATAAACTGTTGAGGTTAAAGACTAAAACAGCCTATTTAGTTCTACCAGTGAATTTTTCTTAAAATTTTGTGTCAAGGTATTTCGTAATTTTGGCAACAAAATATGATGAAAAAAATTGAGGGTCACCGACTTCGTTTTGTCACTAAAGCAACATAAGTGTCGGGTTTCCCCTCAATATGCAGCCGTTATTTTGGTGGTTATTTAAAATTTCAAATAATCCATTTATCGAACTTACAACCATAATTCTTGTTTTCACTTTAAACAGTCTATGTTTATCTAAAATCATATAAAGATTATAGAGTTTAAGATTATTGGTGTTTTGATCTTCAAAAGTAAGATGTATTTCATTCCCGCCAAAAAATACGTTAGTATGAAAAACGTTTCCAATATTAAAAAATGTCTACCAGTGATTTCTTCATAAACATTTCAAGAAGGAAAGCGTTTTGTGTACTCTTTCAAATAAAGCACAACAAACTTAATTGATTTTATATATCTACAACCTGTCGCGTCAATATTTGAAGAAAAAAAATACTCATGATATAGTTACAACGCAGAATTTGGATATTTTTTTCAGATGAAAATTGTACCAATTTTACCAGTTCTACAAAACTTTCGACACATAAGTAGATTATACATACTTCGTTCAATATATAGTCGGCCTGTACTGGCAGTACGTCATACTGTAACAGATAACTACACACTGCTAACTCAAAGCAGAAACTCTTCGGTTTATACGTCCAAAGATACTATATTTTCACTGTCGTCTGGTCATGGAAGATGTGGTGTCGCAGTAATAAGAGTGTCTGGGACAAAATCATCAGCAGTCTTAAAAATCTTGGGTCGATTCAAAGAATTACCAAGGCCAAGATACGCAAAATTGAGGACCTTGTACGATCAAACAGAAAATATACCAATTGACTATGGTTTAGTCCTTTGGTTTCCAGGTTTGTGACTTTTTAATTTCCTATGTTTAAGGTAGATCATAAGTATATATTTTTTGAGACAAAATTTTCTTATACTTTGCCAAAATGAAGATTTTACTATGCTTTTTTAAAAAATATAATAAAAAGTATGGGTCACCGTGCTATTTTCCAAGCTATGAGTTGTTAAAAATTGCCTAAATTTGGTTAGATTGTTCATGAAAAAACATATTTGTGTGCATAAAAAGAAATCTGAGATAGAATTTTGAACAGATATATCATGTTAAGGAGGGGTATTTGCGAAAAATACCAGTCGAGAGAATGTTAAATTTCGCGAGCCGTAAGGCGAGGGAAATTCATTCTCAAGACTGGTATTTTTCGCAAATACCCCTCAAGAACATGCTATATCTGTTTAAGGATGTTCGCTCCTTTTGTTTTTGATTTTTTGCCAGATATTCGGAATCCTCTGGTTTTATCCATGTAGTGCCATTAAAAATTTTGCCCGCTAACCCCTACTTTTCTTTTTATAATTTTATTACATATAGTTTAAAAAGCCATATTTGAAAATCTTTTAAAATCCTTGTTATTTTTTCATTGTTTTTGAAAGTAAAAAGGTGCCAATGTTAAATGTATGAAAAATCTAGAGAGAATCATTTCCCGCCAAATTTTCAATAGCTTATATCTCGAAAAGGAGCACACGGACCCTTCATTTTTTTCTGCTTTTTTAGTTCCTTTATTCGTATTCTATCAATTTATAACAGTCTTTTAAAAAGCTTGTTATTTTGAAACAGAGCAGCGAACATCCTTAATTACACCGAATGCTAACGTTCAAAAACGCATTGATGATCGTGACGTTACAAGCGTCCAGTCGGATAGAGTATTTTTTGGCAAATACCATGGCAGAGAGGGTAAAAAAGGCATATCCTTTTTGCATATACCCCGGCGGCGTTAAAAAATGAACGATATTCATTTGATAACAGTAAATTGGTGAAAAATACACTGGCTATCAACCAATCAAAACCCAGGATTCTTACATAAGGTGTAATTAGGATTCTTACATAAGGTGTAATTATGAAATTAATTACACCTTATGTAAGAATCCTGGGTTTTGATTGGTTGATAGCCAGTGTATTTTTCACCAATTTACTGTTATCAAATGAATATCGTTCATTTTTTAACGCCGCCGGGGTATATGCAAAAAGGATATGCCTTTTTTACCCTCTCTGCCGTGGTATTTGCCAAAAAATACTCTATCCGACTGGACGCTTGTAACGTCACGATCATCAATGCGTTTTTGAACGTTAACATTCGGTGTAATTAAACAGATATAGCATGTTCTTGAGGGGTATTTGCGAAAAATACCAGTCTTGAGAATGAATTTCCCTCGCCTTACGGCTCGCGGAATTTTACATTCTCTCGACTGGTATTTTTCGCAAATACTCCTCCTTAACATGATATATCTGTTCAACATTTTGAGAAGATAGGTTTTATAAAATGTTTTAAGAAAATAAAAAGAAAAAATGGTGTCACCGAACTTGTTTTCTTGCTACAAGTAAAAATTAAAAATTTCCCTATCAGTCCAGTATATATTTTTTACTAAAAGAGTTATCTCCCCTTAAATATCTTATTTGAAAAAATTGATTCTAAAAACACAAAATTTGATATTTGTTTAAATATTTTGTATAGTACAATAAATCACCTAGTTTTCTTTATATTAATAAACAGTGTAACAAATAAATTGCAAATCTGTCTCCAAATTTGCAGAATTGAGCAAATAACTAGACCAATTTTGTACTGCGATTGTACAATCCAAGATGGCGGTATACCATGAATCAACCTTAAATTACCTTGTTTTTTCCTAACGTAATACACATGATATTAGTGTAAGATTTGTTTTAAACAATTTTTTTAAAGCAATACTGAAACAAATTCCAAATATGTTTTCCTTTTAAAAGATCTTGACTTATGGTATGAACTGTTCTACATGAAGATGTCTTTTGAGGGATTCGATTATGTTGTCGGGCTGCTTTCTCGTTGGCGTTTGCACACTTCTGTTACTTATAATCAAGATTTATTCGTATTCAAAAAAGTAAAAATTACAACATATAGTCTGTAAAATTGTACAAATATGCAGTCTTATTTGAGTAGTCAGAGACATAGGAAAAGGCAGAATGTGTTTTAGAATTACACCCACATTCATTTCATGGTCTTCCAAATCCAATATTCAGCATCATATATAAAAACAATATTATACAAATTTAACCAATCCAAATGTTAATGTGCCCAGTACATGGTTGTCTTTTGTTATCATGGATATATCTACTAGTATCTATTATTGTCATTTTGGGACTTTGCTGTTACTAGCAGATAATTCCCAAATTTCTAGACTCGGGCGATTTAGAGCTTGTATATAGTCTATAAATTGTTGAAGACCGTATGCTGACCTCTAAATGTCTTTGGGTTTTTGTGTCCTCTCCTAGAATAACCAATCTCATTATATTCATAGTACTGTTTATCTGCATCTCTTATGTGACGACTTGTCTTCCAAATATTTTAAAGCTCCTAAAAGTTTCACTGGGGAAGATTGTGTTGAGTTCCAAATCCACGGTGGACCGGCTGTTGTAGCTGCCATGGCAACGACTCTAAGTAAAATTCCAGGGTTACGACAAGCGGAAGCCGGGGAATTTACCAAACGGTATTGTTATTTTGCATATTGATTTTTGTGCTTGTATGTGTGAAACTTTTATATTAATGAAAAGGTTATGTAATACTTCACCCAAAACATCCTCCTTTGGCACAATTAAAAACGTTCTATAACACTGTCCATGTAAAAAAAGTAATATAATAAATAAAAAAATGAGCAAAAAGAAGAAAAAAAAAAAAACTTCAAGAGCCTTCAGATCATTAAAAAAATGAGTTTTCTTTACCATCGCGTCAGGTTATTCTGTCTTGCGATTTTTAATGTCCGATTTTCCCACTATGAAGGCAGTGGATTTGAAATGTGATGGTGAATTGCAACGGAATTTGGATGAAACTTTATTTTTTTATATATATTTTTTTTTTACAAAATACCTTAATTTGAAGAATTATGCCGTTAATTATTCCTGTCAATGATATGATTTCTGCAGGTTACACCGGAAAATTTGAGGCATCACCTGCATGCAATCTTGTTCATTAAATTCAATTCATTTACTATGGTTTATTATCGACGACTTTAAAGTGCATCTGCATTTTACAATTGGAAGCTATAAGCCCGCTGCTATTGTTCAGCAAAGAAAAATGCTTGTTATATAGACATTTTAGAGAAAAGGAGATTGGGTGCAATTTTTATACACCAAACACCTGTACCTGTGCCCAAATACGGACTGTCTGATGTTCCGTCACAAACGGAATTGAAATACTAAAAAATGTGAAATCTGAGGACCTAGTACTGTAATACATATTTATTGGATAAGAATGTATAATTGACATGGTCGAGTACTCATCTCGAAATTGTACTGGTTACTAAAGTACTTACCCAAGACATACTTTTTATATAAGTAATTTATAGATTTCACCGTTTATACTATTATATCTAGTCTCGTTTTTTCTACAGTGCGTTCTTGAACAACAAACTAGATCTTACAGAGATTGAGGGTCTAGGTGATTTAATACATGCAGAAACTGAAGCACAGAGACGACAAGCTTTACGCCAGATGGAAGGGAATCTTGGCAAATTATACGATAGATGGCGGTCTCGTATCATAAAGGTTCGGGTTTTTTTTTTAACAGACTGATATATATGCAAAAAAAAAAACAGTTTGCAGGTCATTTTAATTGAAATCACTTTACATCCGTTGTCTGTTATCTTTTTAAAAAATCTTCACTTTGTTAAACACTTTGCCTTTTAAAAGCAATACTTGCCAGTATATAAATAACACATAGCTGAGAGGGTGATAGAGCAGATTGTTACCCCGAGAAAACATTGTCAACTGAGGCGAAGCCAAGGTTGACAATGTCTTTTCGAGGGGTAACAATCTGCTCTATCACTCTCTCAGATATGTGTTATTTAATTTATTATTTTGAATGTTCTGTTATTACTGTCGATTAAATTTCAAATTCAAAGTAATAAACTATGACGTCTTGTACAAAACAACCATCCGTATTTAATAAAGCGCACACTTGATCGAGCGTCTCCATGAAGGGTAATAGAGTAAATTAACACCCTCGTTCGTATTAGCCAATCAAAATATGGCATTTTAACGTGAAGTATAATAAACTTATTTGTTGTCTGTTCAGTTTAAAAGTGATGTTTAATGTTTCACCGACCAGCTGCATGCGCGTTGGTTTTTTTTTTAATTGAACATAGGGGTAAAACACAAATTTTGATATATCATATTTCTCTACAGTTATGTTTCTTTAAAAAAATATAGAAGACTTAGTTCTTTAATTTTCCCATTTCAGGATATAATTTTTTCTTCTTTTCATTTAAGATGATGGCAAATGTTGAAGCATTCATAGATTTCAGTGAAGATGAAAATATAGAAGAAGACATTATTAATCAAGGTACTCTTTGTCAGCAATAATATGCATTAGATTTGAAATGGCATATGAAAATTCCAATATGATTGCATTTCAACAAAAATGGAAAGGGAGTTGTTCGACGTCATCATTTAAATAAACGTGTAATACTGGTCACGTGTCTATAGAAAAAAGTTATCAAGTGCGCCGAGACCAAAAAAAACATAAAAGAGGGCAAAATAGTAAAGTCAACGCTATTTATAAGTGTTCCTTCCTTCATATATAAATTGAGTAGAACTACTATGTTTAACGACATTGACTTCAAATGAGGATCTTGCTTGGTTGCTGAGTAGAACTGAAACTAATTCATAAACTTATTATTTACAGTTAAAATGCCTCATTTAAACCAGGACTGTAACACTATATAAATTACGAATAGCTGAGAGGGTGATAGAGCAGATTGTTAACCCGAGAAAACATTGTCAACTGAGGCGAAGCCAAGGTTGACAATGTCTTTTCGAGGGGTAACAATCTGCTCTATCACCCTCTCAGATATGTTATTTAATTTATTATACTGAATGTTCTGTTATTACTGTCGATTAAATTTCAAATTCAAAGTAATAAACTATGACGTCTTGTACATAACAACCATCCGTATTTAATAAAGCGCACACTTGATCAAGCGTCTCCGTGAAGGGTAATAGAGTATTTGCCATAGGATAGAATCGTTTTTAATAAAGCGCACACTTGATCAAGCGTTTCCGTGAAGGGTAATAGAGTATTTACCATAGAATAGAGTAAATTGTCTACCTCGTATTAACCAATCAAAATCTGGCATTTTGACATGAAGTATAATAAAATGATATATCTCGTTTTTGTATCCTTATAATTGCAAATGTAGACGACACCAACGCCAGAAACTTAATGTCATGTCTCGCTTCCGCGACTAAAATCCGACTCGGCGAGACAAAAACTGTTTTCTCTGAAGCAATTTTATCGGGGAATACAATCCAACGGAAACGTATATTCCCAATTTCAATGTGCAAGACAATTGTTATTGGATTAACATTCACCAGATACATTGAGGTTATAGCAATTTGAGAAGATGTACATACAACATTTTTGATAATCAAAACAAAAAAGGGACCAACTGGAATAGCTAAAACAACGACAGGTCAACTTTGCTTAAGGATTTGCAACCCTCTTTCCAAACTTTCGATTGATTGATTGTTGTTTGACCTTTGTGGCAAATGTTTTCATGCATATTTAGGACAAAACCAAAGTTTTACTCTATTAGGTATTCTCTCATTGGTATTCAAGGTATACGAGAGTGTTTCACGACCTTGAATACCAATGAGAGATTTCTTTCCTCCGTTAATAACAGTTTACACATTGGTAACACGAAAGCTCCGTTCCTCAATCATATTTTAATACATATTTTTAGAGTAAAGCATTTACTTCGAAACGAAAAAAAGTCAAACATTCATAATAAGGTTATAAAAAATTAAAACAACACGTTATGAATTTCATGCGTCCGAAGCGCTTTTCTGGATTTACCTTCATCAGGAACGCTCAAAGCCGAATATTTGAAAGTCAAAGATGTATATATAAGAACCGAAACAGTTGAAGAGAGCTATACGACCAAAAAGAACCTAAAAAAATAGCCAAATCCTTCTAAGGTCAACTTTACCTAAGGGAGTTGAAACCTTAGTTTCTTATAATTTCAAAATTAATTAACGGACAATTTTAGAAAGGTTAAGGCTAGGGGAAAACATTTTGTGAGCCTTTCTCGCAGTATCTAAACTTCGTTCGAATCATTATTTTTTTTCCATTTACGAAATATGAGGAAGCATTCATTATACTTTATGGTCATGTTCTCATAGAAATTCTCGGCAGTTTAAGTTCTGTGTACTGTTGTTATAATCAATTTGTATATCAAGAATTTTTTTTTTAAAGTGGTGGGATTCTTGGTAAAGGAGTTCAAGTTTGATTTTTGTTGATTTTTTATGTGATTTCTAAACGATTCCTAAGAAAGATGGTTACAACCTTGATCGCCCCCTTTTTTGATGCTTCAATAAAATTTTCAACATGCAACATATTTTATAAGATGTTCTCAATTTGCTATCTTATTAGCCATATCGCTTGTTCAGCTGCGTTGTTTTAAATCATGAAAATAAAAATAAAATTGCTGTGGCCTTTTCTGTAATGTATGATAATCGTAACGACATGAAAATAAACTCATTATAGATACCAGGATTAAAACTGTGTACACCAGACGCGCCTTTCGTCTTCAAATGACTCAGCATTGGCGCTCGAATCCAAAAAGTTGAAAAGGCCAAATAAAGTACGAAGTTAATCCAAAAAGTTGAAAAGGCCAAATAAAGTACGAAGTTAATCCAAAAAGTTGAAAAGGCTAAATAAAGTACGAAGTTAATCCAAAAAGTTGAAAAGGCCAAATAAAGTACTAAGTTGAAGAGCATTGAAGACCCAAAATTCCGATAGGTTTTGTTGAATACAGCTAAGTTAGTCTGGGGTAGAAAATCCTTAGTATTTCGAAACATTCAAAACTTTGTAAATAGTTAATTTATAGTTATGACCATATCAATGATAATTCAAGTCAACACAGAAGTGCTGACAACTGGGCTGGTAATATCCTCGGGGAGGAAACCTCCACCAGCAGTGGCATCGACCCAGTTGTTGTAAATAAATTGGGCCAAAAAATAAACTATTAGCCGCTCAGACATCTCGTCATTAATCAATGTATAAAAATGAGTCATTTTTTTCTAGGAGTATCTGATTTAATAAGATTTTTGCACAAAATGATAAAGAATACAATCATTTCACACATGATTTTGGAAACATTATGTATAGTATGCGGTTTATTTTTTAGTGAATAAAGAAGTTAAGGATATATTACTAGAAATAGAGAATCATCTCCATGACAACAGAAGAGGAGAAAGACTAAGGTCAGGTGTTAGAGTGACGATTCTAGGTGAACCAAACGTTGGAAAAAGTAGTTTACTCAATCTGATAGGTAGTTATTTTTACATGTATATTCATAAATTAAGACCTTGCCGATTTTAGTACTTTGGATTTGCTTACAACACATTTTGCCATGAAAATATTTTTATGAAAACATTTGTGCTAGGATTTTAAGGATAGTCATTTTGGTCGCAAAAGTGCCTTTCCATTTATTGTAACATCGGTTACAATCGATAAGAAATAACGTCAATGAGACAGCAACCGTACGACACAATGAAACCAGAATATACATTTCGATATTGATCATGCTGACTTCCAACATCATGAACAAGAGAGATGTGTCTATACGATATGTCAAGCTCTAAATAGTGTCGAGTCTAAAAGAAAATGAAAAAAATGGAGATTATCAAAGATCTGTAAGAAAAATTAAATTCCTTAAAGGACAAGAGACACCAAAATATAAAAAGGACCACCATTTAGACAGACACAGACTTTCATTGATTACATCAGATTATTTTCTGTTTCATCAAGATATGGTTCAATTATGGATTGCTTGTTTTTTCCAAAGTGCACTATAAAATATGATACCGATTTCAAAAGTTTTAAGGACGCAATCATGAGATGTTTAGTCGTTATAGCAATCATGAGATGTTTGGTCGTTATAGCAATCATGAGATGTTTGGTCGTTATAGCAATCATGAGATGTTTGGTCGTTATAGCAATCATGAGATGTTTGGTCGTTATAGAATATCTGTGTCACTGATGCTTCAATTGTCGTTGCCACAATCCTGTCCTCTTTTCTTCGATTATGACATCATCAAAGGAGACTTATCATCGAATTGGTACTTATTATGAGCGACATGGCGGCTGCCACACGTAAAGCAGGATCTCCTTATCCTTTAGAGCACATTAAGTATCATCCGTGACGTCTCGTTTGTTATAATTTATCGCGATACATGTTCCGGTAATCATTCATTAGGAAAGCTTGAAACCACACAAAACATGTTAAGGAAGAAGATCAAACCAAAGGAACTGAAACCACCTAAGTTCTGCTTTGTAATAGGGAATAACAACTTTAGTTGGAATACAATTACAATAGATGTACCTGAAAATTACATCAAGAACATATCAATAAAATTATCATATGTTTTATAATTTCCAGCTCAACGACCTGCTGCTATTGTGTCTGATATTGCCGGGACAACACGAGACATAGTCGAGTCAGCAGTAAACATAGGTGGTTACCCTGTATTACTTAGTGATACTGCTGGTCTACGGGAGTCTGACGATGTTATAGAGAAGGAAGGGGTTAGGAGAGCACTTGACAGGTAAATGCATCGTGTTTACCGATCAAGTAGTTGCTGTTGTCGGATATATAATAATACCTGTCTCAACCAACATTTGGAGTAGGATAGCGTACACGACCATTATCCCGCGAGTTTTTAAACGTTTGTAAGGTTAGAAGGATGAGAAAAAGAATGATACACACCAAAGACTTGAAATCTTACTATCGGATATCTTCAGTGTCCCCTTCTTACACCCTTTCCAGTATGAAGATCATAATATCCTAGTTCTAGATAGTGCTTACATTTCATATAAATATCATAAGACAAGAAGGCCCTCTTTATACCATGATCTTATATTGTAAAATTGTTCTATGACACCTGCTTTCAGTTTTTCTATGTCATCCTCCTATATATTGAGTGGTTACATACAGTCTCCTTCAGCATATTGAGATTGAGTTCTTATAGATATGAGATCGATTGAAAGTGTTTTGTACGTGGTTTAATTGGCCTGTAAAAGGGGTGACCAATTTGTTTTAGTTTTAATCGTTATTGCTTCACATCAATTTATCTTTAAATAAGTATCATTAGGTTTAAAAATGTAATAAGTGTTAATTTTGTTTGTTTACTTACATTATAGAGCAAAGAGTTCCGATTTAAAAGTCATCATGTTGTCAGCAAAGGATATTGAAAAAAAAATTCAAGATGACGAAATGTTTGATCTCCGTGTTTATATTGAAGAAACACTAAAACAACTTGGTTTAAGTGAACATGATTTCGCTGGAAACATGTTCAGTGACAAACAGCATTCTACCTCTGATAACATTGACAAAGGGGAAGAAATTTTAATAATTATAAACAAAACTGACCTTATTCAAGAGGGTATAGTCAAGGCAGTTATCAACAGCAATGAAAAACTACAAATATGTGCAGTTTCATGTACAAATGAAGATGGAATTATTGAATTTTTGAAAGTATTGACGAGAAAGCTCGAAACATTGTAAGTATGCTGTTACATATTCAACATAATAGAATTAAACTAAACCGTGCATCTGCTGTTCCAACGCAAAATGCCCAAATAAACTTTGAGATGAAGAACAGTAATAAAAGCGCTGTTCCTTTGCTTTTTGTGTGTTTTTTTGCTGTGCATGTACTGATTTTGTGTCATGGATGGATACCCTATATCCTTTGTTTTTCTATTTTATAATATGTAATTTCTTCTGATGTTTAAATACGCCTGCCTTAATTGTGTCTTAACATACAAAAAAATATATATATATATTCAAAATGATATACCCAAAAATGAAATGTTTGTCACATTTACCTCAGCCACGTGTATATATGTACCTGTTTGATATATGAGATGGTAATAACAAGTAAGATCAAAGTACATCTTCTTTGATTACAGAAACCACAACACTAGTTTACTTTAGAACGGCAATAAATTAGATGAAACTAGTTTATTGTAAATATTTTTTTCCTAAAATCTTACGTAAAAGTTATCTATGATTTTATTTACAGACAAACAAGGTCTTTGTTCAATTTCGTTTTTCTTTAGATATTTACCATTTTGTTCTATAGAACGCTACTGATTGAAAAATATAAAATTATGTTTAATTATTAAATATTATATATACATTCGCTATCTGAGTACGATATATATTCAGCCAAATGATAATGAAACTTATTGCATTCTAAAATTGCATTGTTAAGAAGTTTTTTTATTTACATAGAACGATCTCAATTAATTAAAAATATCGTTTTCTCTCCATTTTTATTTAAAGATGTGGTAATCCGTTATCTGGAAACCCAAGTCTTACACAAGCTCGCCATAGACAACATTTATGTAACTGTGTATCACAACTACATTTGTATCAACATTTTATTGACATAGATGATGTAGTTTTAGCAGCACAGAGCCTTCGACGAGGGACAAGAGAGATAGGAAAAATCACTGGAAAAATCACTTCTGAAGATATTTTAGATGTAATATTCAAGGATTTTTGCATTGGGAAATAAAGAAAATAAAACGTTAAGATGTTTTGTGTTACAATTTCTACGAAGACCCGTTGACTGCTTATACAAAATATATATATATATTGTGCGCTCAATATAGTTAATATATTGTGAGCACAATGATTATTTACTAATTATTTACTTTAAAATTCCATAAACAGAAGAAATGATAAAGATTCTCTAAAGCCTCTTATCGTTAATGTGCTGTGGTCGCTTTGCATGATAAAAGATTTGAAAAATGTTAATAACAAACTTATTGTTGCACTGGAATTAAAAGTTTGCGCACATAAAGATACAATAGTGCTTCAATGGATATAAGAAGATGTGGTATGAGTGCCAATGAGACAACTCTCCATCCAAGTCACAATTTGTAAAAGTAAACCATTATAGGTCAAATGACAAGTGTAAAACCATTCAAACAGGAAAACCAACGGTCTAATCTATATGAAAAGCGAGAAAAACTTATGAACCACATCAACAAACGACAACCATTGAACATCAGGTTCCTGACTTAGGACAGGTGCAAACAAATGCAGCGGGTTTAAACGTTTTAATAGGCGCAAACCTTCACCCTAACCTGAAACAATTGTGCAACATCACAACATAGAAGACACACTATAAAATATCAATTGAAATGGCTTAACTCAATCAAAAGACATATTAACAAAAACAAGTGAACATACACTGAACGAATAAATTTGATCTATGACACAATGTAAATACAAAATTAATTTAAAAAGGGGAATAGTGGGAATAGTGCTTCAAGAATGGAAAGTCGCTCAGTAAGGAAATAGTTATCGAAAAAAAACAAACTTTTAAGTGCAAATTATATCAAGAATACCAAAAAAAGATGTCGAGCAAGTTATGTGAAAACGTTGGTTACGTAATACTTATGTAGTAGTTCGATTTATATACCAAAAGCTTATTTCTACAATATGTATAAACTAGACAGTAGTCAGATTCACGGTAGTAATAAATATATACATAAATATGGAATTTTGATAATTGTCTGATATATATAATATATATATATATAAAATGACTGAATAATAGCCAACGATAAATCTTACGGGGCGATGGATCATATAAATATGATACAGTACACTACAAAATATAATATATAACAAGTCTAAAAGGGTACAACATCACCAAAAATGACAATAAACGAACAAATGTAACTATTAATATTTCGGATAACAGATATCCTTCTTCAGTATGAGCACGATGTAAAATGAATCAGATCAATCTATTCTGATTATTAAACTATAGCAATCGTGAATTCTATACAATAAAAAAAGTGAAACAGTTTCACCCGAACATCATATGTAGAGACGCTAATAAATTTTTAAAATTTCCAAAAAACGACTCAAAGACATGCCTAAAATGAAAATAGTAATTAGAGATATGAACTGGCACAACTCTAAAATTCCAAAATGACGTTAGTTAAGATGTTACAACAACTGCGTGTAAATACATTCCCCCCAAAAAAACAACACTGATCGATATAAGCTGGTATAATATGTCAAACAGAGGCTGCGTATTTATCATCCCAAATAAATAGCAGTTTTATAATGAACAGAAAAAATAAAAGTAAATTTGGGCTAAGGTTAAAAAATTGGGCGTGGATGCGTTCTTGTACATCCCTACCAAATGAAAAGAACCCTGGTATTTCAACTAGTAAAATTCAAAAAATTCAAAAAGAATCCTTAAAACTGTAAGAGTCAAGTAAGGAAGCCGGAGTAACTGGAAACAAATGATGTCAGGAAAATGAGTGATGGTAGGGAAAATGAGTGACTCATACTATGTTTTTTCATTTATGCCCTCTGGGGAAACTGTCCTTAGCTTTCTTATCCAAAACCTTTCCCGAGCAAGTCTTTCGGCCCTTGACCAACCCTCGTTGTGGTCTATGATTGTGATTGTAAGGTTTTTGAGATCAGCTCGGGCGTGCCCAGGTGATCTCAAATGACGACTTACGGGGAGGTCGGGCTTGCAGGTGTAGTCACTTCGATGACCATTCATGCGTTTGTTGAATGGCTGTTCTGTCTCGCCAATAAACTGCATGCCACATCGACACTGAAGAAGGTATACAACATTCTGTGTTTTGCAAGTTACATTACAAAATATAGTGTACACAGACCCAGTGGAGTGGCAAGTAAATGTTTGAGTATTCAGTATTTGTTGGCAATTCAGACATCGTCTGTTACCACACGACTTGCACCATCCTGCAGTTGAACAGCTTTTATTAGAGGAGACGTCAGCTCTCACAAATAAGTCTTTCATAATATATATATATATATTATATATTCAGCCTTGTATCACCATCACTGGTGATCCGATGGATAAAATCTGTTGTAGAGTCGTCACTGGTTCAGACGTACTTATAATATAATTATTTCTGTGACTGCATCTTACATTAATTTGTAGGATACTTTACAATAGATAATTCAGCTGATCTGTAACAATTAAATCTTCATGCCTTATATATCAGTTACTGTGTTACGACGCTTGATTAAAACTGAAGAGGAAAGGTAACACCCGGCCACCGAAAGCTTTATTTTTTTTAAATGAGTGAATGTTTTATTTTTCACTCATTTTGGGATGTAAATATACACAGTCACGTAAATTTGAGTATTGAGTTTTGTTTTATATTATGATGTTCAGGATTTTGGATTAAATCAATAGACCAAAACTTACCTGTATTATTGAGCTATTTTTATACATATAATCAGTATTGTTAAAATAATTGACACTGAAGAAGGCTATTTGTTAAGTCGAAATATTTGTCAACACGATTTAATAACAACATCTTCGTATAATACCATCTTATATAAGTATCGTTGTGCAAATCTCTAGACATATATATATATATGCATTTTGTTAAAATATACTTTTTCACTTTTACGGTCTTTTGGAAAATGTTGTTTGTGCTGTATTTAGACCCCTCTACCAAGAAATTTGTTTTGCATGCACACGTATAAAAATTGCGGTTTTTATCCAACGCAATCATAGGTTTGAACGTCGTTTTCAATTTAGACTTGTTTATATTTTTCGTTTGGGCTTGTATTATATTTTCCTTCGGGTTTATATGATCCGTTCATCCTATTTCGACTCTTTAAAATTCAAGAGTCTATCCTAAATTGAGGTAAATTTTATGGCCTTCCAAATACTGTTTCGATCCCTAACATCACTGAAGAGACATTAATTGTCGAAATCCGGATATGGTGTACTAATTTTTGCACCTTTTGTTTGCGGTATACCATCTTTTCCGCAAGTTTATTATTTTCTGTTTGGTATTAGATCATTAATTTTTAAAGATCCATTTTGTTTCATCTTGTGATCCGTTTATTTGGCAATCGCCAATGGCAGTCAGCAGGGTTTAAGAACATCAGTTGTTCGACCTGTTAGTCAAATGCGTTTTGTTAAAATATACTTTTTCACTTTTTCGGTCTTTTGGAAAATGTTGTTTGTGCTGTATTTAGACTCCTCTACCAAGAAATTTGTTTTGCATGCACACGTATAAAAATTGCGGTTTTTATCCAACGCAATCATAGGTTTGAACGTCGTTTTCAATTTAGACTTGTTTATATTTTTCGTTTGGGCTTGTATTATATTTTCCTTCGGGTTTATATGATCCGTTCATCCTATTTCGACTCTTTAAAATTCAAGAGTCTATCCTAAATTGAGGTAAATTTTATGGCCTTCCAAATACTGTTTCGATCCCTAACATCACTGAAGAGACATTAATTGTCGAAATCCGGATATGGTGTACTAATTTTTGCACCTTTTGTTTGCGGTATACCATCTTTTCCGCAAGTTTATTATTTTCTGTTTGGTATTAGATCATTAATTTTTAAAGATCCATTTTGTTACATCTTGTGATCCGTTTATTTGGCAATCGCCAATGGCAGTCAGCAGGGTTTAAGAACATCAGTTGTTCGACCTGTTAGTCAAATGCGTTTTGTTAAAATATACTTTTTCACTTTTTCGGTCTTTTGGAAAATGTTGTTTGTGCTGTATTTAGACCCCTCTACCAAGAAATTTGTTTTGCATGCACACGTATAAAAATTGCGGTTTTTATCCAACGCAATCATAGGTTTGAACGTCGTTTTCAATTTAGACTTGTTTATATTTTTCGTTTGGGCTTGTATTATATTTTCCTTCGGGTTTATATGATCCGTTCATCCTATTTCGACTCTTTAAAATTCAAGTTTTGCATGCACACGTATAAAAATTGCGGTTTTTATCCAACGCAATCATAGGTTTGAACGTCGTTTTCAATTTAGACTTGTTTATATTTTTCGTTTGGGCTTGTATTATATTTTCTTTCGGGTTTATATGATCCGTTCATCCTATTTCGACTCTTTAAAATTCAAGAGTCTATCCTAAAAGTGAGGTAAATTTTATGGCCTTCCAAATACTGTTTCGATCCCTAACATCACTGAAGAGACATTAATTGTCGAAATCCGGATATGGTGTACTAATTTTTGCACCTTTTGTTTGCGGTATACCATCTTTTCCGCAAGTTTATTATTTTCTGTTTGGTATTAGATCATTAATTTTTAAAGATCCATTTTGTTACATCTTGTGATCCGTTTATTTGGCAATCGCCAATGGCAGTCAGCAGGGTTTAAGAACATCAGTTGTTCGACCTGTTAGTCAAATGCGTTTTGTTAAAATATACTTTTTCACTTTTTCGGTCTTTTGGAAAATGTTGTTTGTGCTGTATTTAGACTCCTCTACCAAGAAATTTGTTTTGCATGCACACGTATAAAAATTGCGGTTTTTATCCAACGCAATCATAGGTTTGAACGTCGTTTTCAATTTAGACTTGTTTATATTTTTCGTTTGGGCTTGTATTATATTTTCCTTCGGGTTTATATGATCCGTTCATCCTATTTCGACTCTTTAAAATTCAAGAGTCTATCCTAAATTGAGGTAAATTTTATGGCCTTCCAAATACTGTTTCGATCCCTAACATCACTGAAGAGACATTAATTGTCGAAATCCGGATATGGTGTAC